GGTACAAGCACAGAAGACTATCAGGTTCTGTCTCAGGATAAATCGACGGAGCATGAGTAGGTATAGCACTAGAGAAGTGCAAGGAAACGGATTCAGGCCTTGAGCCAAGCTGGAAGATGACAATAAGTTGCCAACAGAACACTCGTGTCATTGATTCGGCAAATCGATATGCTGTAAAACTTAAACTTAAAGCCAAATGTAACCTATTTTACTTCTGAAGTCTTGGCTTAGCAATCCCCCATCAACCGTTCCAAGGGGACGCAACGTCACAGTTCGCACACTCAGAGGATTCAGATTTATATTTCAAGCAATTCGCACAGTAGAAACGTCAAAACGTACCGCCTTCTGGGTTGCCTCAAGCATTTTCACTTTGACAATCCTGTGCTCAGCAAGACGCAATTGCTCAGTGCTAGCGCTAATTTTCGTTTCTACGAGTTCGATACCTGAAGTATGCTCGAAAAGTTCCTTGTCCAATTTCTGAAATGAGCAACCTGGAGAGTGTAATTTGATAATCCACAGGCCCAATAATTTTATTAAGCACATTCAATTTTGTTTGAAAGGTTTCTAGAAAAACGCGTGGGAAAAACGCATTCAGCGTTGTAATTTTGCATTCATACGCAAACTAGCCTGCCAGAAGTTTGCACATTACAGCAAAATGTAATTAATATGCTGCAAGAAGCTCAAGATTTAAACTTTAGAAGTGATTTTGACCCGCAAAACATTTTGCACATGATTTATGCAGTGGAAATTACCTTAAAGTAAAATATAACGCACAGACACATCTGAGAACATTTCACTCTGAGGAAATTGGTGCACACTACTAACGCCACAGTAGAGCACGCGTGACAAGGTATCCACTGGGCCTTGAGTTTCACGAAACAGTTCTGTAGTTCTTCTCCGTTTTTATGTTATATTGTCAAATCAAATCACGTTGCATAAGTTCTTGGTGAATGATGCGAAATGCATTGAACTCGGTTTAAATTTAGTCGACTAACGACACATTCGTTTTGCAATACTGCTAGAGATTAATACTGAGAACTTTGGAGATCACAAAAATCTGATAATCACCATCGATCCCCACCTTAATGTCCACTTTCGACTGTGATGTCTGCGACAGTAGGGAGTGACAATCTTTGGTAACTGCAACAAGCTGTTGTTCAATCACCTCATGTAGACGTTTGAATTCACTTATTGACTGGTCCACCTGGAAGGTTTTTGAACGTATGTCCTGCATTTCTAATTCAAGAGCACTTTGTTTCTCTTTTAATTGGTCCACTGCTTCTGGAAGGCGGTCAGGATTCTCAATTACTTGAAGGCATAGTGTCTCCCGCCTAGTCCGGAGGCTTTCGAGCTTTTCGCTCAAACTAGATGACTTGGCGACAACAAAGTAGAATTCAAATAGCAGAAGAAAGTTTCAGTGACAGAAGGAGCGAATACACAGTTTACTTTGATACTAACAATCACGTGTTTGCTAGGAGCATGGCGTATTACTGGGTATTCCGGGGAAGTATAAAATTATTTGGATGTAATCACACTTCTACCCATGTTATGTTATGCTAGGACAGTTAATGTAAGCTATTTAACACAGAGACGAATTTGCTGACTTGTAGTGCAGGAGCAAAAACATTTCGACATGCCCGAAAATCGCAGCCGTAAAACCCCTTAAATTATATGAACCACACGCTACTATTAGCATACTTTTATGTTGACTTTGTATAAACAAAATTACATGGCCAATAAATTAACATTGGATGCATTCAAATACTTCAATTTCATTATATATGAGCCTCGAAACGAAATTATGCTTGCAAATTAGGTAAAATGAGAGCAATCTTCCCTGAACCTAGTTTACGAATGTGTCTAATAATAGAATAATTAAAATATACGAGGAATATAAAATACCTCAGCCGAGTCGGCCTTCTCCGATTCTGCAAATACAGATAATTTACGACTCTCTGATGCTACACGTTCCGATATTTGTCTTTTCGACGCCAGTACGTCGGACAAACATAAATTCAGATCAGAGATTTTTTTACGATATTCCGATCGTTTTGACTCTTCAGCTTTATTACTAATTCCCAGAGAAGCGATCTGTTCTCTCAAACTGGCAGCATGGGACGCCCTCTCTTTATAAGTATTCCACACCTAAAGAGAATGACAGATAATAGTATGCTCACCTGTATAGCGTAGTCATTCGCTGGAGCAAGAGCTTCACAAAACTGAAACAGCCACGACAACACTCTTGCCATTTTCTTTGGATCTCTTTCTTCAGCAAAATCGGAAGGGGAAAAAGATTCAGGAAAATTCATCTGAGCAAATTTTCGAATGATTGTTAGAGGATAAAGTGGTCTTTCAGACGGGTTAAGAGTCATTCCAAAAAACTGGAACAGGTAATGGCACAGAATTCCATCGACTTTTAAACCTGAAACAATTACAAGTAATCCAAACCAAATACCGCTAGAGAGATCTGAGGGTTTAATTCGTTGACCAGTAAGGTCTAAAACACGGGCCGAAATGCAGCTAAAACTGAGAACCGGGAATTCTGCGAAAAAGTTACTAAAGAATAAACGTACCAAAAACGAATCCGCTCATTTGCGCTGTTGTTGCAGTGTGGTGCTGCTGTGGTGTGGTGTGGCTGTGGCGTCGGATCAAGGCACAGACATGTTGGACCACCTGGCCTCAGCCAATCCCGTGTCTCTCTGCGATCCAATGGCATGCGGGAAAGGAAGGCAGCCAACCATAGAAGGACATGGATGAGATGCAGTATATAATGAGCGGCGTGGCCAGCATCGTGGACTCGGATGGAAGGCGCCTGACGTGTGGCTCTGGCTTCTGGTTGGTCAATAAAGCCTGTTCTGTTATACCGGTCTTTTTCCTATTAGGGCTCGGGTATTCTACATGGCGTCGGATTAGGGCGCAGACATGTTGGACCACCTGGCCTCAGCCAATCCCGTGTCTCTCTGCGATCCAATGGCATGCGAGAAAGGTAAGCAGCAAACCAGAGAAGGACATGGATGAGATGCAGTATACAAAGAGAGGCGTGGCCAGCATGGTGGACTCGGATGGGATGCGCCTGACGCGTGGCTCTGGCTTCTGATTGGTCAATAAAGCCTGTTCTGTTGTACCAGTCTTTTACCTATTGGGACTCGGGTATTCTACATTGGTGGCAGCGGATGCGTTCGAATAACGCAAATCGAACCCAGCCCTTACTCTTCTATGGTCAACACAGGCAAAGACCCTTAAATGCCAGGTGGATTTGTCATGGCGTTCATCCGATGTCCAGAAACAAATGGATCCATAGACATTGCCCGGGATTAGGACTACTGCGTCTGAATATGCATTGGCAACTCAGCGACGACGACTTGGACAGTGAAAGCCAGCTGGACTGCATCTGCGAATGGACCTTCGATGGATGATGAGTCCTTCCTGCAAGTCTACATGAGCAAAGTCCCTCGTCAACTATTCGCATGGGCCACTAACCTGCCAGATGTGGGGTGCTGGAAGTGTCGAACTGGATAGTTTACCACTCATGAACAGTGCAGTGAACCAAGCTAGAAGCTGAGGACAGCTTCACTCCTGAGGGGGTGGGAGTGTGGCGTCGGATCGGGGCGCAGACATGTTGGACCAATGGACCTACGATGGATGATGAGTCTTTCCTGCAAGTCTACAAGAGCAAAGTCCCTCGTAAACTAATCGTATGGGCCACTATCCAGCCAGATGTGGGTTTCAAAGAGTGCGGAACTGGTCATTTTAACATTTATAGGCAGTGCGGGGAACCAAACCAGAAGCTGAGGGCAGCTTATCTCCTGAGGGAGAGGCAGTGTAGCGACGGATCAGGGCGCAGACATATTGGACCACCTGGCCGCAGCTAATCCTGTGCCCCTCTGCGTTTCAATGTCATGCGAGGAAGATAAGCAGCCAACCAGAGAAATACACGACTGAGGAGCAGTACATAATTAGCGGCGTGGCCAGCGTGGTAAACTCGGATGGAAGGCGCCTGTCGTGTAGCTCTGGATTCTGATTGTTCAGTAAAGTCTGTTCTGTTGTACCAGACGTTTTCCTATTCGGGGTCGGGTATTCTACACTGGTGGCAGTGGATGCGTTAGAATAACGCAAATCGAACCACAGCCCTTTCTCTTCTATGGTCAACCGAGGCAAAGACCCCTAGATGCCAGCTGGAGTTGTCATGGCGGTAATCCGATGTCCCATACACTGGATCCATAGACATTACCCGGGATTAGGACTACTGCATCTAAAGAGGCATTGGCGACTCAGCGACGACGACCTGGACAGTAGAAGCCAGCTGGACTGCATCTGCCAATGGACCTACGATGGATGATGAGTCTTTCCTGCAAGTCTACATGAGCAAAGTCCCTCGCCAACTATTCACATGGGCCACTATCCAGCCAGATGTGGGGTTCAGGGAGTGTGGAACTGGTTATTTTAACATTTATAGGCAGTGCGGGGAACCAAACCAGAAGCTGAGGGTAGCTTATCTCCTGAGGGAGAGGCAGTGTAGCGACGGATCAGGGCGCAGACATATTGGACCACCTGGCATCAGCAAACCCTATGTCAATCTGCGATCCAGTGGCATGCGAGGCATAAATGCAGTCAACCAGAGAATCACACGAATGCGGTGCACTATGCAATGAGCGGTGTGGCCATCGTAATGGACTCGGAAGGAAGGCAAATGACATGTGGCTCTGGCTTTTGATAGGTAAAAAAAGCCGTATTTGCTGTACCGGTCTTTTGCCTATTAGAACTCAGGTATTCTACAATGGCGACGTCGAATGGAGCGGATATACTGAAAAACAAAAAGCCTCAGACAGGTTGTCTCAGGAACTGAATCCGTTTCCTCGCACTTCTCTAGTGCTATACCTACTCATGCTCCGTCGATTTATCCTGAGACAGAACCTGATAGTCTTCTGTGCTTGTACCTGAAGGTTGATGTGGTGTAAAATAGCTTTCCCCTTGCTAGTATTTACTGGCAAATTCAATCGTTTATGGTAACTGGTTGATTAATCTATCCGGTTGTAAAACCAGCACCTGAGTGAAGTCACTCCTTCTCTGGTATCCGTCTGGTTAACAAGTCATTTGTTTCGTTTTATGTCTCTAGTCTTAAGGAGCGATTCGTACTCTGGATCAAAAACCACATTCCCACTTCCTTTGCCTTTCCCAGAATTAGTCGTACTGGTTTTCGCACTTCTTTCTCTTACCATTTCATATGGCATTATGATTAGACCTTTCCATCATGCTTCACCTCATACAGTAAACTCAGCTCCTGAACGCTAAGTCACAGTAGAACAATCCGATACTTTCAAACGTCACCCACTTATTTTTGGAAATATTCTTATCAAATGAATCCATAAGGTTCCTAATTGATTTGGCCACCGATCAGGTCTGTTCGTTATTGATTATTTTGTCCGAATTTATATCCAACGCCTGTTTGCGAGTTTTGCAAGTGATCTTTAATATTTCAAAGGAGTTTTCACGTCTGTTCTAAAAGCATCTTGAGAGGGGATCGAGCACAATTGTTATTTGGCCTTCATTTATAGCCAGATTTGTCTGATAATTGGAGATTATCGTATCTCTCTTTTTAATTCTACGGCCTGGGCTCAGTATTACAATGTGTCAAACTGTGCAAAAGGTGGATGATGTTGGGAACATGCGGTGACGTGATTTAAAGGCCTGTTGACTCATTTGGGTGTTCCTTTCCTGTATAATTCCTATGTACTTGTGCGTCATAATGTTTTTAGATTGAAAGTCGTATCAAGAAAGAGAAAACGGCTCTTTTGGATAAGTATTGTTCTGCGTTCAAATCTCTCGAATCTGATGTAACTGCTATGGAAACCTTGCTGAAGACTACCAAGGCCCTTTACGAAGAAGAATATTCCAACAAGAAGGTATGGTTGTAATGTATCGTTTTGACTTATTTTTAAATCGTGATCAAAAAAACAACACAATATGATTTTCTGTGCAATAGCGAGATGAGGATTGGAAAGACGTTCAGGAGTGGAAGGACATTCTTCAACGGCTCTATCAAGCCTATGTTCAAAATCAAAGCTACTGGACGCCATGCATCGAACTTTGATTAATACCCTCCGCCACTTTCAATTTTGTACTCACAAACAGATTGACGTTTTTGCGCTGCGTCAATTTATGTACATTTACGCTTTTTACAAATGGTTAAAATAATTATTTGAAAGCACAGGGAGAAAGACTGGAATGTCGGAATCGTAGTGGTGCTGAATGGTCCCAGAGACTTGTCATTTCAAATACAAATACATCCTACTGTCTTGAAAGTAGAGAAATCACATGTGCGTAAAGTAGTGATGCGTGGTGAGAGCGTTAAGTAATGCAACAGTGAAACACTGGATGCAAATTGAAAATCCATTTGGGAGACGGGGGTGAATATCTGCTTTGAAGTTCCGATTGGTGTGTCATAACTTCGCCTTTTCCGCAACTCTCGTACCTGAAGATGGTATTTTAGTGAATCTTGCTAATTCACGTCCCCTAAACTGGCCGTTGCATTCTTCGACACACTGCTTCCCCATTTTTGCAGCCTGCCTGTGAACTGTATGAAGCCGTCTGCACATGTGCCCCTGTGAATATACCGGTCCCGCTACTCATTCCGTTCATTTGGCCATTCAGCCGTTTGTACACTTGCGATGTCACCCAAACCGTATAGATCAGCAGCCGCATTAGTCGAGTACTACTTTGAATGCACGCATACACACGACATCACAATTAGTTTGAGCCACTTTCGGTCTTTTTGATCGTCTAGGGCATCTGGGTAGCGTTAACGAGCCAATAGAGCGCGTCGCCATCGGTGCGGTTCAAGACCACTTGTCAGGGCCTTCAACAGTACATCTACCAAATAAGTATTCAAACTACCGGATTGCCTGTTTCCTCTTACCTAGTTGTTTGTTTACTTACTTTCCCTGATCACTCATTCACCCAAATGATCGCCACTCTTATACAAATTCCCCATAACTACACTACGTCTACACAGATTGCAAAACTCCATAAACTTGTGTGCAGAATATGCCACTTTGTTAGTACTCAGAACCTTCGTATGAGGTATTCTCAGGATGATTTTTGAATGTTCTGACTAGCCATGTGTATTTGTGTCAACCACGCAGTTGGCCCAAGATTCGACACTGCACCCAGAGGAGAACAGGGATACCACAGGCAACGAAACCGAGTGTTTATTGGAGTTGTTTGAATAGTTTTTTCGTAAATACCTATAGGTCGTGAAATAGAACAGTAGGGTGTTAATGACCATGATGGGAAAACAATGACAAAACCGTCAGCATTACAGGCATATGCATAGAGGTGCGTAGTGGAACGATAGAGCACAAATGTAAATGGCGACTAAGCCGGAGGAGACCGTTGACGGACAATTAGAAAGACGAATAAATACGATCACCTAGTGTATGAACAGTGGCGATGTAGTAAGCTAACGACATTTATCTCATCGTTTGTACACCAATTCCGTGCAGACTAGTGTCAAATAGATTTCAATGGCATGGCGGTTGACAAAAATGAAATTCAAAACTGAATGGATTTAGGAAGCTGAAAATGACATTGAAGCTAGTCAAGGTCCCACTTCATACATCCGCCAGTGCCATTATCTGCAGAGTTTTAACTGAAGCATATCGATTCTTCGCTTGTGTGCTGCCGTGCATTAAACCCATATTGCGTTCTAGCTTACCGGGATGATTTAGCAACAGGGAAGATGGTAGCGGAGGGCTGCGTTGCCCGCCAGGGAACAATGCTTTCAGCTGTGCGTGCAAATTTGAGTAGGCTGCTAGATATCCTGAAAATACAGGCATAGCGAAGCACTTGCGGTACAATTGGATACTCCTGACATTACGTTTGATCATGAACGTACTGATACAATAGGGATTTTAGCACAGTCAAGGCGTTTATTGCCTGATAATTCGGGCTGATTATTTCACTCGGTAGCAAGATGATGTCCATATGCACAAAACTCCACCAAAGCCGAAGTTAAACGTCCGTTACGAGTTGGATAACAATACTTCGAGTAATATTCAGCTTAAAACAGAGCGGGCAACACGTAATAAGTTGAACCAGTTCCAAGATCGCATCTGACTTATCAAATCCCCATCCGATTGCGTTTACCTATCGTAAATTTCAGCATTCTAAAGCCGCCGAGCACCTGTATTCCCATTTATAATGGATTTAGTGAGACCACTTTAGCCAATCTGCAAGTGATCATTAAGAGAACTTGATAAGAAAGGGATCTTTGCTGTTGAATAAAACGGAAGGGAAGACAAGTTTTGTCGTCCGCCTTTGACCAACTTTTCTAGACACGAAAGCGCCCCAAATCAATGGATTTCAGTCCAAGGCAAATACCTTTGTTTTATTTTACGCAAGATATTAGGAGTTCCTGTCCTGAAGAACATCTACGTTGGTGTGACCTTTACAAGGCACGAGGAAGACAACGTGATCGCCACGATCATGATGTCATGGTTTTGACCTCGCCAAACTTCTCTACTAATAAATCGAAGGACTGCGCAAAAATCTGACTGCCTGATGAAAAGCTGAACATATAGGTGAATAGGAAGCGGCCGTTGACAGAGACCTCTGACGTGATCATCAAGGGACAAATGCATTTTCTATCGGTTTCTGACACCGAGTGTGAACAGTTAGCAGCGGGGCAAACTAATGATGCATATGCACAAAACCACACCTTAATTCTAGTCAGCTATGTGGTAACTTTTCTGTGAAAGTGGCAAGCAGGACATAAGCAGGAAAAGTTCATCAATGTGTTCCTGTCCAAATCAAAAAGCATACGCATAAATTTTTCTGTTAACATTTGCCATTCGGCATTTAATGTAGCCTTTGTCTTGATAAATGACGCTTTTTACATGATTTTTTTTTATACAAAGACGTTTACTTGTATGTCTAACTCTGTGTTTAATATAATCGAACTAAGTTCAGTCAGCATATTAAGTCGACCCTGAACAATTTTACCTTTGGGTATGTGCTTTTATTATTTGCCTATTTGTTTGAATTTAGATCTTGCACAATTTGATACGTTTCGTTTCTTCGTTTCACCCGTTTTGCGAAGTGACTTGATGAAAACAGTTACGAAATTTTATTGAAACATGCGTGTAATATCTAGTCGCCCTACTTCTATTATCTTCAAACACGGCATTAAAATCACGCCTAGCTTCGTTTGAAGCTTTATTGCGTTATTGGATAGAGGCATTTTTGTAACACAGATCACTATTTGGCATTCGATTGAGAAGTTGACTGTTTCTATCATAAGATTTTGCAGAAAACGTTATCGGCGTTAGTCAACGTCCAACTGCATACATGCGCCAGTACCATTTTCAGCGGAGTTTTAAGTGAAGCTTGTTATTTTTTGTTGTGCGTTTTTGGAATCAAAGCGTTATGCGGTGGTCAATTGTTGAGATGCAGGACAATGTCAAAATTTTTTGAATGCAGTTTCTGTTATTGTAGCTTTTCTAGTGCTGTTTTCAGTTTCGTAGCATAGTAAACACATTTATGTTGCATCGGAACTTCTGACGAAAATACCAATGACCTCAGTGGTTGAAAGTGTTTTGATATGATTGAGCGCGTTATATGAGGAAGTTTCGTTCCGTGCGTGCGTGCAATTTAAGCACGTTACCGAAATTATAGGCAAAGGGCTAACGTGTTTGTAATGCTAAAAGATCCTGTTAATTGACATTTCGACCGAAATAAATAAATAAATAAACCAATCTTAATGTCGACGAACAAATCGTTTGCACCTGGATCTGATGTAGGTGGGGAATCGATTAATCCAAGGTGTGTACAATGAACCTAAACGAATTCCTGTAGTGGAGTTACAAATCAAGGTGTTGGTAACTCTAAGCGTGAGGGCCCTTGGTCCCAGCAGGCAGCTAGTATGTTTACGTGTGAGATGCCTTCGAATATGTCTGACCGGGACTGGCCTTCGCTTCAAGTTCACCACGACGGCAACGCAGATCCTCAACCAAACGTAGCTAAACCGCTCCCAAAAATTAAGCCTCCGGTGTGACTACTTTTACCTTTTATATAACTTTTAGGACCCGACCCATTTGTCCACGGAAAAAGAAGCAAGTGACCGGAAGCAAAGTTCTTGCCGCCAAAAAAATAAATGGAAAACGGTGCCTTTAGATTATACATATTCGAAAGAACCAACCAATGACTCAAAGCCTCTCACTGAGGCAAAGTCGAATAAGCGTACGTCATATATTGCTTAACTCCACTTTTTCGAAGTTGAATACGGAAAATTGAGTTCTACGTCTCGCAATTCAGCCACGGATGCCTCCAGTTGTCCGACCGTTTCAAAGTCCAGAAATTTCGTGCGCACCCCTAGGAGTCAGCGGATTTCGAAACGTCTGGTACCTAGTTTTGTGTTGGCAGCAAAGTACCGGGAATCGCCGTCACTAAAACCTACTGTTTACTCTTTTTCAGCCAAGACGTCCCCCACCAACAAGTAACTTATCTACGGCCTGTGTCTCAGCGAATTCCACTAGTATTAAGTCTCACCCAAGTGGTTTGACTAGAAAGGTGGACAGGTTTCGAAGCCAGCCGCAGCTTGCCGCATTACCTCCTATTTTGCCGTATTCGTTTTATCCTCAAGCCAATGGCACGCTCCAACTACCAGCACACCGTATGTTTTCTTTACTGCTAGTTGTGTAATTCATCACCTAGGTTCTGATTTATTTTGACCATTTTTAGCTTTTGGATATCCAATTGTGATGATATATGCGCCCCCCGAGAACTACATAGGTTCGGACCCTGTTACCACACCACTGTTCTCCTGTGCTTCTCCCGAGTCAAACGACCAAAACGTCATCAATTCTGTTCAATCTCCTGGTACCCAAACGTGGATACCTACGACCGTCGATTCCACAAAGCCTAGTGAAACCGCTTCCACACCGGTTGGTGTTAGCACTGCTTCGATCTATTTGCAACCTCCCGGAGTTTTGCACCTCTGCCCACCACTGTCCCCCGTGAATGCCGAATGCGCCCTCCAATCCCAGATTCTGCATCAAATTGAATTCTACTTTAGCGAAAATAACCTTGTCAGAGACACGTTCCTTCGACGGCATATGGATTCTTCTGGCTGGGTTCCGATTTCTGTTATCGCAAAGTTTAACCGGGTTGCTTCGCTTTCTACTGATTTGAACAAAATAATCAAGGTGCGTATTCCGTACTTATGTAATGCCTTAGTTTTGCAGCTGCTTGTATAATGGTCTCTGTACAAAATTAGGTTTTATTAGGTCCAGTTAGTGGTTGTACTTAATTCAATTGCAATGTGATCATCGTAGGATAAGTTGTCATTTTGACGTGTTCCTGGAAGCACTAAAATGTCTTGAGATTTTTGGTTCAGTTGACCATTCCCTTACATTAATATATGACCGGGTTTCTGCTACTGCCGTTTTTCAGTCGTATTTTACCACGCATCGTTGATGTGGGGCATTACTTGGTCGTGTTTTACAACACTGGAGTAATTAAATTTCACGAACAGTACTTTTCGTGACTTTCTTGATAAACTGCATGACTTGAATATCATACCGGTCAAGAATTCCTAATATTTTTTGTGTTTAAATCTTCCTGGTGGAAAATGTCCAATTTTTTGTAGCGGTAGTTTCTTGCGTAATTCAAACTTGGCTATAGCGTAGCTCACTCATATTTTAATCAATAAACCACTCGTGGGTGGTCTTAATGGTATTAAAGAAGAATCTCAAGGATAAAACATGAAAAATCACTTGCATAGCTCAGAATAGCTGCAGGTTTCCAGTAAATCTTTCATTTTAGACTCCTTTCTCCAACGAATTAACCTGGAATGCTAAATTTTAAATTTCGTGGCTTTAGTGAAGTCATGCAGGTCTTGACAAACGTGTAGTCCTCACTATGAGGTTTCTACAAGAAGGTATTTTGCTGACAGTACTACTAGTCCTATTCCGTTATTGTGTGCATTTGTGTGTTTAGGATGCTTACTTAAAGTCTGATGCGGCAATGCTCCACGGATCCCTATTTTACTGGTTTAATTATTAATCAAATGTGTATATCGCATTGTTATAGGCTTACGCTGAATTAACAGGATATATTTTAGAGCACTATTCCGTAAGTGCTCACATTGGTGGAACAGTCATGCCACTTTTCTTCAAGCAAAGCACACCTGTTTCGTCTGATGAAGTTCTTCTTAATTTCTTGTAATTAAGGCCCTTTTGCCTAGTCAAGTGGTCGAGGTAGATACGTCGGGAATGCGTGTCCGTTGCCGGGATCGTCCGACGCACTGGGTTATTCGGAGCAAAACACAAAATTTTGAGGAAAACCGCCGAGTTGTCAATGTTTCAACCGACAAGTCAGAGGATAAATGTTCGGACTCAGGCCATCGGACTCCAGTTTTTCCTTTAAATCCTGATGCCCCTGAATTCGTTCCCTCTGCTGGTAAGGTCTATCGTAATGTTGGTTTATACTACTATATTCAGTGTTGACAGCTGCTGATCACTTGAAGATACTGCTTTTTTACCGTGGTTGTTAAACTTAATAAAGAGGCCCGAAAGTATGTCTTTTACTTGCTGCATTTTGTTGTAAAACATTTAAAATGATTCGGATGAATCGAATCGCTTTCTGCATGAGGTTTGAACGACACCGATAGCTGATTTGATCCCAAGTCCTTTGATCGATTTCCAATTCAACCAACGTTTTTCTACGCCTAATTGCGCGATTTCAAGGTTCGCGCCCAGTTAGCCATACCAGTTGAACTCGGTAGGTGATACGGTGTGTTGAATATCCGGATTACTCGCCATTAACAATTTAGTCCATCTACCTCAAGTCTCCAAAGCAAGCGCGAGTTTGCGTTTGATGGAAATCTCTTAAGCATTAATGATGTTTTCCGTTCTCTATAAATATTTGCCCACTCTTATTACAGGCGACACAATCTGTTCGGCCACTCGGTGTTTAATGAGGTGGCACTGTGCGCCCCAAGCCGTTCTTGCTTGCCACAATTACGCATTGTTGATCGCTATGCTTGTTCGAGTGGTGTAATTAGCGTCGTGTAATTGCGTTATGGATGGCAGTGGCAGGTTATTTTGTGGGCCATGTGCTACACGCGTTTAATTAGTCATGCCGACAGCCAGGGAACTTGGTTTGAAGTGTTTGATGTTAGCATTTTCGCATAATGAGTGAGCTTTATCCGTCAGTTCTCTAACCTGACTTCACCTCCGCCCAAATTCCTACAGGAATGAATATAATTATGAAGGAACCCCAGCCAATTCACTGCGCCTGAACCATTAGTTATAATTCCTGGATGCGTACTTGGCAATTGTCGTAAATCAATCTATTTTGTCCTAAACCTACGTTCTGCATCACATTCGTGTGCACTATGGAGTGCTAATTCAAAGTGAATTAGGCCTATGAGTCGACTTGCATTTGTACTTGGGAAATCCCAGTTCCCCTTTAATCTGTTGCGGTTTTCCCAATTTAATTTACTCGAATTCGCAGTCTTGTGCAACGCCTATTCGTAAAAACAGCTTTCCGAATACTACCGTGGAATTATAACGGGCTAAGCTTTGTGTCTTCCTTTTCCTCCTTAATCCCATGAATTTTTAAGCGCATATTTCTTTAATAAAAAACTGCAATGATTGCTTCGTCCATATTAAAGCTAATTTGACTAAAGATTTGTATTAGTCATGGGACATAATGTTCATTTGTCTTCAAAATAACGGTGTATTTCAACGAGCTGCTAATTCCTTTGAACCAGTCTCCGTGTAGTTAGACTACATGGTGGCTTCTCGCCTAATCGGTTTCCTACTTCAATCCTGCTGTTTTTTAGGAATTTCGGTCTACGCTGCAAGGAGCATGCTCTGAGTGTTTAAGTGCTTTAATACTCATTTGAAAAATTATATTTAATTGATTAGTAGTATTTGTTAACTTAAATCTATTCATCCGATAATTATTGATTTTTTTTGGAATCATATTTATTTTTCCCCGACCTAATGTGTACTACACACTTAGTCATTTGGTGTATTTGCTACAATTTCCCAAACGTACACAAACAGTCACTTTACCCAAAACCATATTCGGATACTTTCTGAGAACCCATGTGTCTCAGTAGGAACTAATATTTAACAAGTAGCTTTTCGGCACCAACCTCGTGTCACTTCCCGAACCTACAACAAATCGTGCCGTTGAGGCCCTGTGGCTCCCCTTGTCCAGGCTACGTGATATCGAAATATACGATTTCGTGTCTGTTTCAAAACAGTTGTTTACTGATCACACGAAAGCGGTCAGCTCAACGTTTTATATGTGGACGCGCTTTAAATGCCTTCACACATCCGTATCGTCGATCGTATAACTGATCCGTGCATACGTAAAGGAAGCTCACGTCGACCACAATGTATTTAGTGAAATTCGCAGGAGACCTATAAAGTCGTTGCTTATTGTGAGTTTTAGTCTCAAATCGCTACAGCCGTTATCGCTCAGTTATTTACAACAGCGCGCATTCAAGAATTGGATACAGCGATTTAATTAGCCTGGGTCGGAGTGTTTATGACAATTTTTCACCTCTTTTCTATCCGTGCTATGGAAGTTCCAAGAGTCCTTGATCTGAAAATCAATGTTTATGCGTTGACTTACGTGGGCCTCATTTGTCTCGATGTTTTCAACCGCTTCCAAAATTTTCGTCAGTGTTAACACAAAAATGTTTGTTTTTTCCTAGGACTTCAGGCACATCAAAGAAAGGCCAACGCTTTCGGTGATGGCCAGAGACCTGACGTGTCACTTAAGCCTTCTGTAGTTGAGGACCAAGTGGAGGGTGAGGGACCTTTCGCATTTGAAGAGTTTAATTCAAATGCGTCTGCTCCCACTTCCCCCGAACACCGAGAAACTCGGGTTCAAATTGAGGACAAAGTAGGTCGAAGTTTTGTTGCGTCTGAGTACAATGTTCACTTCTCAATCTATTTTGAGGTTGAATTCATTTTGTTGTAACTTTCAGAATCGGAAGTTCCACACATCGTCATACCGTTCTTGTAGTCTTGGGGCGTTATCAGGCATTTGGGTGTAATTAATGGCTTCACCACAACTGGGCTGACTTTACAACACAAAAAATTGAATACATTTTGTGAATAAGTATTAATTGACAAGACACGTAACCATGCCAGCAGTTTGATGTGTACTTTTATTCTGCTTTCCTTTGTGATCTTTTATTTGTACATATGTTGATATCTTCTTTTAGCGGCGAACCCGCCAAATTTCTGCGGAAGAGGATATTGACGACACGATGCTTTCACACCTACTAGTCGTTGCTCCATCTCTTTGCCCCTCTGTCTTTCCTTCTCGTTCCAACATTGCTGGCAACACTCGTGATCTGTCTTCTCAAGATTTCGTCGCTGAAACAGAGATTTCTCGTTCGTTGTACGTTCTGACAAATATTAATACCCTTCCTTATTCTTTACGAGTTCGACTAAATTATCCCTGTAACTCTCCTAACCTCGAGAACTTACATCGCAGCCTTTTGTTTTAGGTCTCTCTTGCATGAATACTGTTTTTTCCCCTAATATTGGCGTGTTGCCCTGAATTATTAGAACTTGTAGACATAAGCAACTTGTCTTTCAAATTGGCAATCTTCCTTTTGGCACCACTATTTCCACTCATGCCATGTCTAGTACTGAAGCAATGTGGCACTTGAAAACCCTATCTTTATGCCTTTAGTTAACTTCCTAACGTATATGCACTACGCTTTATTGTCCTTTCCAAATGGCACTGGGACATGATAAGAACTAGAAAGACCAGAATTTTGCATTGCGATAAATTCCGTCTCTCATGCGTGCAGGCCTGTGTCAGGGTTTTCTCACATCCCCGTATTTAAATAATGAAACTTGCCGGTAGGCTGATATCCAAACGAGGAAAACCAAACATACAGTCCTACCAAATTTCTATCTTGTATCGCGTTTCTTCGTTCTAATCTGCTTTGCCGGCAGAGGCTTTGTGGCGAAATTAGAAGAAAACTTGCGCAAGTTCTGGTGTATTGTTAGGTGTTTGTCTCATTACTGTAGTAATATTCTACTGGGGGTCTCAATGACAATTTATTCGTCCATTTCATTTCAACCTCTTTTCTTAACGACATTATTTTCAGATTGAGAACCTGTTGCGTGGGTTCCATGTGTATTTGTTTGCGCCCTTATGACGCCTTAAGTTCTAAATACGTATTCCTTAGTAATATAAAGGTCTAGAACTTCAGTTGGCGACTTAATTGCTTTTTTCTCTGATATTTTTTTAAAATGCCGCCAAGTTTGTGTCGACATGTTTATCTTGTTAATAGACCAGAAGACGGTATGCTGGATGATATTAATTCGCAGCTTATTCAGCTCGCGAACGAGTTTTGTCCGCCTTCCACCTCCGTCAATGGCTCAGAGAAGACTGGCATGTTGACAACAGGGACTTCCGAGGTTTGTTCCAATCTGCTTTGTCGCAGCCTTGTTGGTAAATGAGTTTTTCAGCAATGTATAAGTGATATCCAAAAACGGCACTAGATGGTGCTATTTACTGGTTCCGTAGATGCAAAGTTGCACTGTGCACAACTTTATGTGTGTGAAACGGCCATTTATTCATTTTGTTTAAAGTGTAAGCATTGTCATCGACACAACCTCTTGCTCAAGCCAATTTACTGAAATCCAAATTCAGATTTCTTCTTAGCAGTCACATGGATTCAATTAGTTTTTATCAAATGGTTTAAATTAGGTTTGGATTAGGCGTGGGTAGACATACATGTGGGCAGTTTTCAGGGTACGGAGTGCAAACTTACGCTGAATTAGTGGCCTTATTACTTCATTTATGCTTTTTCGAAGACAGCAAGTAAGTCACTAACGTGTCTGTGCGGTAGCTTCCCATTATGGGTTTATTTAAGTCCTTTAATTAGAGTTCGGGTTGTCTAGTGTACAAAACTCCTTCATTTACCGTGAGGTAGGTGGGATCACTTGTTCCTGTAAGGTTAGCACAGCGTTTGCAGTGGCGTTTAATTTCCTTAACTTACCCCTATCAATCATTTTAAAGCGACATCTGAACTATTTTACACTCCGGTTTTGCTACACCACAGGTGACCCTGAAAATTAAGTTCTCCCCCGGAATTCGGCTGTTTACGTTGTCTGACGCCCACATTAGTCTGTCGCCTTAGCTCTGCAAGTCAATAAAAATAACAAACACACATTCAACTAACAATATCTTAAAATGTTGTCATTTAGGCCCTCTCAAATTATTTCAAAGTATTATGTGTTGAATTTGTTCCACAAGGGCTTGCAATAGTATTTACCACAACGAAGTTATGTCTCCGATAGCGCTTTAAAGACGAATCAGTGGTGTGGCTACTTAGCTTACCTCATTATTGTTTACATTTCCTCGTTATACAAAAGGTAGTCGACTCCGTGAATCCGGAAGGCGTTGCAGCCGAGGCAACGCCCGCGTCTTTTGAGAATCTTATTCCAGCAACAGGAGTTGCGTCTTCACTTTCCACACCAACTGGCACATCAGCATCGTTGCTGGGCAATGTACCGACATCGACAGCTCCTCCTTTCATCCCATCAGGAGCCACTTTGTTGCCTGCCGTGCTCGCTTATCCCACATCCTACTTGCCACCCGCCTCAGCTCTGCCTCACGGTGCATGTGGTCGGGGATCTAGATTTCCACAGCCCCCAACTGCTGCTCCTCTTCTTTGCCCACGTAAGTGATTTTAAGTAACAGGGATTTTTGGTGTCTCATCTACTCTTAGTATCCGCAGTGTTTTCATCTGGTTGCTTTAGGTACCCCAAAATCAGCATTTAGATTTTCTCATACACGAACATGCTATAAATTAACTTGAGGCATCTGGTTACTTTGTAATTGTTGTATTTACAATGGCTTGAATTTCTCAGACATCTTATTTGTTGATGGTAATAGTGAAAATTATGTTTTTAATCGACAAGTCGCCTTCTTTTTTGCACTATATATGGACGCAATTTGTGGCTGTTGTATATTTACATGTTCCGGCTAGTAAACCTATTTCTTTTTTCTGCATTTAAGATTTAGCACAATGTTTGTTTTTGCTTGAGTTAATGTACTTATGTGACACACCATAGTGACAAAATGCAAAACCTTTCAAAGGTTGTGGATCAGCAAAAATGCATCTTGTTTCTGAATCATATTATTCAGATCGTATTTTGGGATATCCGCTATCTGATATAATCGACTTTGTGTCATTGCACGTAGAAATGTCCACTCCAACAGCTCTTCGTCTCTCCGCTTCACCACTTTAGGTCGAAATTTAGTTATTATTTATAGCGGCTTGCCAACACGACGCGTATGTGAACCGGTGTATTTGTCGAACATAATTCTACGCTTTTCGGTAATCGGCTGTGTCACACTTGTTCTCTGCATCTTGACGAAAACTTGTCAACCGGAATGCCAACTCATTACTGGTACAGGCACTGTGCTGTGGTATGTGCACGTATTTGCTAACATCGCGATGAATGTTCTCGCGCGTTCCAAATCACAGCCACGCATACGTTATCGATAATAAACCGTGGCGTGCCACAGATTTATTAACAAACTCTAATAAAGTTAGTTTTCTCTAAATAAATCAAGTAGACAAAAAATTAAAGGGGTCAATGTAAATTTCTGAAATAAGATATCGTCACTCCCTGGTTGATTATGGTCTGGCTGTCGTTGGTCCAATCACCACAGAAAGTATCATCAGCGTCGACCGCGTTATTGCGACCATCGCGATTATTCACTAGTCTTCATGATGGTTGAATACTGCAACCGTTTAACTACTATGGTTTCGTAGTCTTGGATTGTGGTTGGACTGCACTTAAAGTGTGAACGTGTGTCAACGCAGTTGTAAGTGTCTCAAATCCATGATAACATGTATACTGTAAATTCGAGTTCCTTTATATTTTAATCACTGAATTGACTTTTGCAATTAAAATCAAATCCGTGTCAGATTTGAATCACCTTTATTACTTCGAGTTTTACCAACCCATTTGAAAAGCGGCACTTAAATTATTTTGGCATCTGTTGTGTTCTTATTATTCCAATTACTTATCCCTGGTTATTTCCTCTAGCCCCCTGGATTCCCATGCCTCAGTTTTTCCAGCCAATCGTCAACGGTTTTGGCACCTCCACTTCGACCCAATCCATTCTCTCTCCTTGTTCCGCTCAGCCAGAAAAAACCGGCTCAAATTTATCTGATCCGACGAATTCCTCCCCGTCTCCTACTTCACTGTCCACTGGAACTAAGGCCACCTCCTCTTCCGCAGATAGACCGATTGTTACTTGTTCACCAGGTGTCCCGACCACCACCCCCGTCGTCATCTCACCTGCTGCCCCTGGATTTTTTCTGTACTCCGCTGGAGCAAATGGTGAGTTCCATGCTCTCCCTGTTGCTCCACTTAATCCATCTACGGGTGCTCCTGTTTCCGGAACTGCTACTGGATTAATCAACTCTGCTTTCGTGGGGTTGCCAAGACCACTCTTACCCCAGCAACCTTTGCCATTTCCTCCTACTGGATTGGATGAAAATTCGAAGATTGTCACTGAAGCAACCCCCGTCACCTTTAAGAGCAAAAAACCAACTCCCTCTGGCTTCTTCCCTGGTCATTACGAGGCACGGCGTCCCGCGCACGTTGGGCCGGTATGTTACATTTTAATGGGAATGATTTCCACATTATGAACCTTGATTTGCCTATGTGGACATGTTAATTTATGTTACTTTATTTGAAAACCATCTTTCATTTCAACTGAGACTTTGCTGACGTACTACCACAGTTAGGACTTTTTAAAAAAATGTGGTTTGGTCTTCATGCCCATTGTCAATGTAAAGTTGGCGTTTGAATACCACGAATGCATATTTACAAGCTTATTTTGAACTTTTCATTTCCCCAAAACCTAGACGGTGTGTACACTTATTTTAAAGGCTAATTGGCTTGTACAAGTACGATGGCGCCTCAATTATTGATAGGTTAAATTTTTTGGCTGTGCTTAGAATGTATGCTTTAATTGTGAAGTTGCTTGATTTTGTGTGAAATTGAGGCAGATCTGGTAAAAAATTGAAATTTTAGTGGGATAAAGCGATCGCTACGGTTCCAAAATATAAATGTACTAAAGGGAGTGGTTATTTGGACTCTATCTTGAATAAAAACTCATGTAAGTAAGGCCATTTACAGAGAGTGTATTCTTAGGACGTTTTGTTAGACGAATAGCGTGGTTTCTCATGCCGCTTAACTATTTAAAAGAAAAGTAAATTACAAATCGTTTTCCTACTCGACTGCCTAATTTTTGGTAGTTACCCGTCAGTAAAATTCCTCCGTGAATTAAGTGAGCGATATTGTATAACCTAGGGATTTTGCTTACATGACAGAACTCAGTCATTTTTGATTGCATGTTGTGTAGCGGCTTTGTCTTGAAACATGCCTGTTGGCGACATCTTATTGCCACGTTTACATTTTTTAATCTTTGTCAGCACCAGACTCATCGTTACAGGACGGTGTCCACTGGAGCGACAACTTCTCATAGCTCAGAACCTCATGTTGGTTTCCTTTTTACTGGAATGGGCGAGGGTAAAAGGCTGCGAACGGTCTCTGAGTGCAGGTGAGTTTATTATTGCATACTTGATTATTAGTTATATTTTATCTACTAATTAGTGGTCTTCCTAATATCTATTGGAGTTAAACCTCGCTACTTCGTCTGGCAAATTTCATTGATAAAGGGTTTGTTCCAATACGAGGACGGCTTTTTCTTGAGTATGCTAGAGCCGGTTTAGCCCTTCATTGTCATGATTTCTTTAATGGGCTTTTCATCGAATATGTTTGATAGTTTTCTGCTATTCACAACGTCAGTAAAGGTGACGTTCTCGTTGTAAAAATCGTTGTCATTTCCCACTTGCGGGTCACCTGAGCGGCCTTTCATAATGCACGTATTAGTTATTCGTTTCCCCTTTGGCAGTTGTCCTCCGAATTGTTCTGAACCGAAACGTGTTGAGAACTTCCTTTGATGCTCAATTTTTTTGAATTGTTTATTGACCAAATTACTTTGAGTGCCGGCTGCAAACTGATTATACATCGCACCCAACGCTCCTAGACCTATTCATATATCTCCATCCATTCTGCACATGCTCACACACCTCTAACAACCAAAAAGTTTATGGTGTATTATCTTTCAGTCTTGTCATTTCCATGCCTATCTTATCTCTTAAATGATTTTTCCCTCGTCGGGGTCATGAAGAGTATCAAAGTAAACTTAACTAAAGGCGTGCGTACATCGTACTATTCATTAACCTTATCATCAACCGTACAGATTATACTATGCGTTTTGAGCGAAGAAGCATGGTGACACCTAATATCACCAAAATGCCTTTTAATTCTTGAGTTGCTTACGACGAACCAAAAGTGCATAAATGTTGAATTGAAGACTTCCCGAAATGGAGTCTTGTCGGCTTTGTGTGTAAGTGACCCTCTTAAAAGAATTTCTTATCACACTCATGTGGGCAGTTTTCAATGTTGTATGGGTGAGTTCATAACCGTTGCCTGGGTTACTTCGCTAACATTAGAATTTCCGGTTACTCAATTTGAAGTCATAGGTCGTATTTTGTAGTACTTTTCGTAGGGATTTAGTTCAGCAGTATTCACTAGTATGACTTGGAATCTGACGTATCAGAACTATTGTAATGTTTTGATCTTGATTTGGACTGAATGTTGGCCACGTTTAAATTACTTGAATTAGAGATGCTGTGGGTCCCGTTGGTTCTTCGTCCACGTCCGAGGCTGCTTTTTCTTACCATCCGAGCCAAATATTGCTGCAACAACGTGGTTTTACTTTCCACCGATACAACAAATTCCGTGCCGCATGTCTTCGCGATCGGGAGTCGCATGGAAGGGGCATGTCCCAGGTAAACAACTCCTTTTGCCCGCTTTTTCCCTCATTTCATCTACCACTCGGGTTTAAATTCTCGTTTTATTTGCGTTTATTTTACATGATGGTTATTGTTGATTTAGCGGATTAGTCTATTGTAAAATTTATTGTTTACAAATCTATGATCATCAGCAATTTAAGTGGATTTTGAATCTTAACTATTTTTGGCATGCATTACTACCAAAGCTTTCTAGCACGTGAATAAATTTATCGCCGTTTTGTCGTTTGACTTTGTAGTATTTGTTAGGTTCTTGTGTTTCATTGTTTATATGGCCGAGCAGTACTCCATCTTACCACCTGTTGGAATTATGTTATTTCATGATGTGACTTTTGCTTTGTTTGTAGTGGTCCGGCTGTAGGTTTTTTTTCACAAAGCTGTTGGCAATTTTTTAGTGTTTTCAAGTTAGCAAAAATGCATGTGTCCGTCTGTATGCTTGACGGCCTGTTCGGAAAAGTGAACATTGTTATATGTGAAAAAATTGTGATGTTTTATCTTTGGTACTTGCAGGAAATGAATACGTTATATCGGTTCTGGTCTTTCTTTCTACGGGAAAATTTCAACCGCACAATGTACAAAGAATTCAGGCGTTTTTCTAATGAGGACGCAAAAGTTGGATCCCGTTATGGAATTGAATGTCTTTTCCGTTTTTACAGTTACGGTCTCGAGAGACGTTTTCGATCAGATCTCTTTAAGGACTTTGAGGTAACAGTTGAGCTTTTTGTATCTTTGGATATCACCTTTTATATTCCGGGTATTACGAGTTCTGTTGTCTTATTTTACCGTATGTGTTCACAGCACCTAAAACAAATCTGTTTATGCCGCGTTTCCCCGCACAAAAATACGTACACATGGAAACTTCGTGCTCTAAACGATTTTGCAATATTGCTTGGTACTGACGTCCGTTAAATAGCGAAATTGTAGAATTTTGATGATTTTTTTAAAAAAAAAGGCTTTATATTTGTAGGATGAAACTCTGGTAGACTATGAAGCAGGACATCTGTACGGGTTGGAGAAGTTTTGGGCTTACCTTCATTACAGCAAAAACACGATTGAGGTTAACCCAAAGCTGTCTGAAATATTAAAGAAATACAAAACCTTGGAGGATTTCCGTGCAAATGTGAGTTAATGGGTTACTGCTTTATCTTGTTATTTGAAATCCTCCAAAGAACAACACTGCTTCCTCGTACTGGGTTATTTTATTTCGTTAGTAGTTCCTGCAGCAACATTCTTTGATCACGGTCAAGGTTAATGCGGTGTTATGATTTTCAATGATGCAAAACAATAACTTTATCTCTTTTATATTTTTGAAAATCTAAAATTCTCATCAAGTTTTGTCTTGCACTTGAAAGAGGGACTAGTGATGGCATCACCACCGGACGAGAGGTTGCTGACCCTGGCGTCAAAGTTAGCCTGATGCCGGCGCAAACCGCGGGCATGTGATTACGTGGCTCTGACCTGTATATGCACTGCCACGAGACCTGTGTCATTTTTTACTGCCTGTCATTTTATGTGAACGTGTTTTTAGTGAAACTTAATAATGCGGTTAACCACACGCTGAAACTGCTCGGTGGCACGAACACTGGAGACTGGTAGCAGGAATCTGTTTGAAGGCGTTGTTTTGTTTTCGCGTGCTCACCTAATTTATTGCCTTGACGGTACTTAGATCAGTTAATCGTGCGTCACATATTGTAAAGCGGATATGTGGATATCTAGCCTCGCAAGCATGGTAGTTGTGTGCATTTAGAATTTGATTGCTGGAATGACCCGGGGTCTGGAATGATTCCCCCAAACGGAATTACCGGATTGACGTTTTTCTGTTCGTTTGTTGGACTCCGTTGTATTCTTTTGATCTAATGGTCCAAGATATTTAGTAAATATGTGCTACTAATGGATCGATAATGCTACTGATGGATCAATGTATTGACGAGTTATTCTACTACCGTAATTTTATGTTGGCTAAGTGCTGAAATCGTTTACCACCTTTATTTGATTGCTTTCGAATAGGTATGGGAACCTTAGTGGCAGTATGTACACTGTGAATTCTAGTTCTTTCATTGTTACATTACAGATTGACCTTCACAAATACTGTCGAGCCACTTTTTTTCGAAGCGATTGCTCACTTTTTGTGGGGTCTTAATTCTACGTGTTTTCTTTTTTTGCGAATGGTGATGTGAAACGCACTTCGGATGTAATGTTTACTTATTAAGTGTCATTATTTGGACTTCATTTATCAACTCCCCGTGATCGAGACATCAAAAAAAGGGTATTCTTGAAATTGCCCACGTCCGTGTACTTTTTAGTTTCAGCCACCTGATGGGTTTTTCGTGGCTCGTGCTCGTCGCAGAACTCAATCAGAGATTATCACAAGTAGTAACTATCTTTGTGGTGTCGCTGATTCCCCGAGTCAAAGACTTTCAGATCTGCCTGCAGGTGGATCTTCAAAGGAAAATTCGTCTGACTCCGAGACTGACTGCGCAAACAAGCAAAAAACTGAAAAAAAGTCAACCGGAGAAGGTTTATTTGCGGTGATCCAATCGCCAAAGTTATCAAACGCCAGTTTGTCTCCCTCTCTTCACTTACCGAAAAAGCGGACCGAATCTTCAAGTGAAACCGTTGCTCCAGCCAAAGCAAGTACTGAAGGCTCAAAGTCGTAACCAAGAGACAATCCATCGTTCTACAGACTATTCATCCTGCTCCAGACATGCTGATTATTCACAAGTGGATTCAAGCACCGCCGCATCCAATTTGACTCGCGAATTAAAGAATCTATTTTGTAGTGTGCCCTTCGCTCCGCCGCTGCGTCGACGGCTGGTTCTTTTTTCATAGCTTCGTAATTCCATCACAGATTCCCCAAAATAACCTAGGCAACGATTACTGTCTTTTGGGTTCCTCTTCATTTTTCACTTGTGGTAAGCTTTGTGCGAGTTTTTGTTGTGCCATGCTACCTCTGTTCTGATAACATGCGCTCTCCATTCGCTCCTACATCTTCCGATTTGTCGACGTTTTCCTTCATTAGTATTGTAGTTATCCTGCTCGCTGCTCAACTACATATGGCCAATCTCTTGGTTATATTCCCATTTTAGTCCACACATGTAGACACCATTGTTTCATTTATTTTATATAAGCCCTCAGATTTTGTCATCCTCTGTATTTACTATTCATTCATTAGTGCACGCAGGTGCACAAATGTGGACGTTAATGTCGTCCTTCGCTTCTGGATAGGTTGAGTTATTGACATTTTTTCCAGTTTGTAGACTTGCTCTCCAATGATTGCTTAAACCACCTTTAGCTAATGCACACTCCTAACAACTATGCGTCCCTGCTTTGTCATGAATTTCGGGGGATCTTTGTTTCATTTTTTTAAAGAATTTCTGCTGTTTAGAATTTTCTGGGTGATGGTTATGAAACCCCTGTCCTACTAACGCTACCGTACTTGGTCTTCCTACATTACTTGTCCATCCCATTTTTGTGAGTTTATTACAATAGTTGCTTACACACCTACAATAGAAAATATACGCCCATGTTTGCGTGTAACTTCGTCACTGAATGTTTCTGGGGTCAATTTATATTCCGGTGTCTCAACATCATTTGGTGTCGGTTTCTCCGCAGGTGTGATTTGTTCGTACCAAATGTGAGTGGCCTTATGCTTTTGTGGTGTTTAAGATGGGATGGTAAGTGCATGGCGTAGGAGTGCGCAATCATGGGTATTATTCTGACGGGTGATAGGTTAGCTTTGTAATCGGTGGTCTCATATTGTGCGTCAAGCGTTTTTGTATAGTTGGGGTTTAGTGGAAGTTAACCAACGGGGCTAAGTTACTTATTTAATAGACTTATCAGTGATCGTTGCTATTTATGCCATCGCAATTATATAGGCGCTTATTCTCCGCAGCGAAATATTTTCCAAAATGTTTTATCTGTCCACCACGGGGCCTCTAAACGAACCTAGCAGGACGAAAATCAAGGACGTCCCAATAAATTTCGGGAATCCCACCCGCCCCAGCGTTTTACGCAATCGAGAATATTCCTGCTTAATTAGGGGTAAACAATGTATTATGTCTCATCCTCGCTTTGTTTACCATGTCAAAATGTTGACAAGAGAGGGATTAAGAAGGAAACTAAGATTAACGAAAGTCGTGGGTGAAGTGATTGTCTGCGTATATATTCCCTTGGGTGGATATCTGATATCCGTTGAGAGTATAGGTGACTTCATCACGATAAACATATTTATTAGCAAAAAATTTCAACATCGGTTTTACAAAAAAGGGCTCGCCCGAAAAAATATTGTAGGTATTTGAGAAAGAACAAAATACCAACTTTGTGTTGCGGGCAAAAGGTAATTGTCGAACAACATATTGTTAATATGATGTATAGATTAAATAACTGTTTTTTTTTGAGCTGCAGCAAAAAGTTATCATTCCTGTTGTTACAATGTCATGGTATAAGTTAAAAAAATTAACTTTAGTGCCTCTAGAGTACCCTTTCACATGAAGTTCCTGGTCGACCCCTTACATTTAGTGGTCATTTCAGAGTTGGATTTGTTTCATCCTTCAGTTAGCGTTATTAAACCAAACAGACTGCAGTTGTGCTACGGCAAAAATATCGAAATATCTAGAAATTTATTCCACATAGCGCAAGACCTCATTTAAAGAGGGTTGATTGCAGCGTCTTTATGCAAATATTTCCATTACAATCTACCACAAGACATTCCTAATTTTTGTATACCTATTAATTAAAATTAAATGCAGAAGTTCAAACTCAAAAGAATAATATATAATCATATTATGATAAGTTCTGTAGTTTATTATAGTATAAGAATTCAGCTAAGATTTTGCCTGCAAAAAAATCGTCAGAAATGCAAAAGAGGTCGCTTTTAGTGCACATAAATTAAGCTGCTAACAACAGATAGCAGCAAGCATTTTTTCACATCATACGGTTTGCTTTAAGTGAATCTCTGCTCTATAACCATCTGCTGTTTTGTTTTAAAATCCTATACGCACTTGAAGTCTGTTCGTCTTTGAATGCGTGTGTCATGATGCATCCCTCCTTGGGATATTCTGGATTTTGTATGTTATATGATGATTTATTCATTTTAATATTATTGTTTTTTTGTTTACCTACTCTATTAAAACGTGTTCTTATTGTGTGGTAATTATGAATTTGGAATAATATCAAGTAAACATGGTTGGAGCTTTAATGTTTATGGGCTTAGTACGCATCATGGTGTTTTATACAAGCTTCACATTCTCCTGCATTTATGTGTTCAGTTAAAGCATTGTAATTGTAGCACATACACTATGTTTGCTTTTTCTGTATGTCTAGATTTCAGAGATAAATCAGTTTCCCATGCTGAATTTGTGTCACGCATACTTTTTACCAGTTTTTTTTTGTAGATAAAACGAGTGTTTCGAAATGTTGCTTTGTGTCGAGCATTGCCATTTCGTTATATATCCTGTTTTTCGGTCAGAGATATCGGAGACTTTTCGCATATAACATCGACGAGATTTTTGTTAACTGTGCGGTAAGCTTTGTTGTTGAGGCTTACTTAATGTAGATTTGGCGGCTAGGAGTTTCAAAGCTCGCCTTTTTGAGTACAACAGATTTGATACTTGGGAGCGGATTGATATACCACTTCCGTATATTTGAACGTCGCTACGGCTCTCGAAAATACGCGGTAACTTTCCTGTTATTTTTCGAATTTTTTAGATGTCATTAATTTGGGTTGTGTTGCTTTCGACTCTACTCGAACTGCTATCCTGTCTGGCTCTTCGGTCTATTGGACGTGATCCACATGACTTACCGTCGGGTCCGTAAGTGTGCTGTAATCGAGATAAGTCAATGTTTTAGATTCTATTTTATATATCCTTACTTTATTTCGTTTTGGAAGGAGGTTCCAAATGTATCTATAACGAAGGTTGGCGGATTGCCTATATCGACGAATTGGATTTTCTACTTAATTGGGTTACGAGTATGCCGTTTCATAGCTATTTCAAATGGTTCCTTTAGCTGGCATTGTCATCTGTTGAGGCCGCTCTTGTTTGTGGATGTGGATTGGTAAGTGTATCACTGGGGTTTCCTGTTTTATGATTTTGTTTATGCATATCCTTTGGCAGACACATAGCTAACCCCCACTACTTCAGAACAGGATACTTTTTATTTCAAGATTTCGTTCGCCTGATTAAATAATTTTTAGCTTTTTGGTTCATCCATTCCGGAATCCCAAATAGTAAACATGCAAATGGGTTCAATGCGTATGTATAACTTAATCATAGATTCAATTTCTCGAAATGCGACATTGCATTTTTAGTAAGCAAAAATAAACATGAATAAAATTTTGCTGTTACAAACTAAGGCTAATTTTCGCACATGGGTTAAAATGTCTCCAGACGTCAATTATGGGTGTTCTACAACATGAGTTTCATTTGGAACGTGGTGTTTTTATTTCACTAGCTAGAGAAAACTTGACGAAGTATTTTTTAAGTTCCCAAAACATTCCTTGCATTTCACAAGGCTTCATTCAAGGTGTGCATTCGACTTTAAATATCTAGTCTCTTCATTGTCGGTAGTTTTGGTGGGATTTTCACGTAGCCTGTGGAATGTGTCTGTACCTACAATTACATAATATAAAAAGTGGGCGTTAAATTACTATACGTAAATTTTGTTAGACTTGACATTCAATCTAGACTGTCGAATTAAAATTTTAATAAACGACTTCTCAAAATATTCAACAGAAGCCTGTTCTTATTGGACTGTTATTTTACCCCTTCCTTGACTTGTAATTACCAGCCGCGTCCTTAGAAAACAACGTGTATCAGTCTTGAAGGCTATCTGCGTATCAACTTGATTTAGCCATGTGTATCTTTTTTCCCTTGAGCTTGCTGGCCTCATTTATCAGTGCAAATTCCTGCAAATAATCAACCTGATCCCTCGCAGCTTCGCGAAAACATTCAGCTGTTTTCTTGGACCCTTATTATCTAGCAAAGCTCCGGTGTTTGTGTCAAAAACAATTGGAGCCACCTTAGAACTCCAAAGGCAGGAATTTCTTGATCGCTAAGAACAGATATGGACGGAGGTGAGGCGTTCTTATTAGACCCGTGCAAAGTTTTAACGCACACTAGTCCAAAATTCCTTTTTCTTCCATAGATAGGGATGATCCACCAATGTAGGCAGTCGACATTCTAAGGTATCTTGCACCTAATTTAGGAATCACCTTTTTGCGAAATTGGGTGATTAAAATCTGTAGCCGTATGATTAGGCAACGATTGCGCAATTTCATTTTTTGCTGACTCTCATAGAACAGCCAAACGAGTAAGTGGCACAACTGGACAAACAGCCGTTTACTTATTCTCCGGGTTGATGTTCGTGATGAATATATGCACATTGGAAATCTACTCATTGACCATAAGGCGGTTATTTTATGGTCAAACGTCTTATGGCCAATGAGTAGGTTTCCAATTTTCTTATATTCCTCACGAACAATGGTAGTGTTGTAATTTTGCACCAAGTTATTGTCCTAGGACAGTTAAGTCAAGATTCTGTAATTTTATTACATCAGAAATGGCAAAGTCGTGCGAAAGTTTTGGCTCCTTGAAAATGGAGCAAATTCATCTTGCATGATTTACTATCTAGTCATGTGTGAAGTGGATAAATATCGTTAAACACAGTTATTATTTACAGTGTTATGTTTTGTGACGTCCAATATTTGCTTTTAGAGTAACAGACAGGGACATATGGAGTGGAATGCACCACAACCAGGCGAGGTTCGTTGAAAGGAATGCTATTTGCTTTGTTGATGTTTAGTAATTTGACACTCATCAACCAACTTTATCAATTAAAACACCGCCGCGAATGGGTTGACACTCGGCCATCGTAAAGGTGATTATATGCTCCCATTTCATACCTTAATTTTCGTCCTGTCGTGTTGCCTACACTCCAGGGTGCCACACACTTCTTCATTCCAACAAGTCTCACGACCGTTGAATTTACTAGCAAGTTCCAGTTCGGTCACCCAAGGAAAGGTTTTACTCTCCATGCCAGACTTTGGTGACCAAGGTAAACATCACTTCGTCAGCTCTGTGATTATTTTTGCAAAACGCGGGTCATGTCACAGTTGAAATAGTTAGTTGTTTTATTTAAGCGCTTGTCTCAAGCATTCTTCTGTTACAGGTACAAAGTCTTGTCGATATGGGCTTCCCTGAAGAACGGTCCCGACATGCACTAGCAGTTACACGTGGCGACATCTACGAAGCGATAAATCTCTTACAAGATCGTTTTTTTAGCCCTTAGCCAAATACTTATCATTTCATCGCTTATTATTTCAAATAAAACAAACAAGAATAGTGGTGTTCTTTTCCGATCATAGTTTTACACAGAAATCAATTTGTCGTTAATGTGGGGTGGTTCCCATTGCCATCAACTTTATGACAGATTAGTGGGTATTTAATGGGATTTGAAGTCGTCATGACTGCCACCACTTGTCTTTGATTCGAGTGTTAATAGAAACTGGTACGGTTAGTCGGCGGCAAAAAATAACGACATAGGCTCAGTCTTGCGAAAGAAAGGGGATCAGAAGTTTGGCAGAAATAAGATGAGGATAGAGATTAAGGGTCAAGGTGAATTTATCCCTGCGAAATAATAAGTTTGTTTGGGGCTGGTCTGTCAGTTAAATCCACCAGATTTCTGTGCGGCCAATAGCGACTCGAATGATTCAGGGTCACTATTGCGTGCTAACCACCAATGGAGCACGCCCTTGTTCAAAAGAAAACCATCAGGCAGAGCCCAAGTTAAATTATGGAGGTCGGCCTTGCCCTGGTGGGTTTCCCCTTAATCAGCCAAGGAGTTTTTCAAGAATGTAGCCTCGCGCTGTGAAGTCTTGGACAGTGTTTGTATAAAAGTCCGCTAATAAATAAGACCTTTATTGAGGTCTCTTGTCGTCAGCGGCAATAAATACCAGTGTACGATTAACAGTCTGCGTTCTTCAACGTTTAACATTAATAGTGTGACAATAATATGCACCACACTCTTATATATAAAAGTGGAATTTAAATTGTGTATAACCATTGAACAATGAATACTTGAGACCTTACAGAAGTAACATGAGAACCTATTATTTGAACCTGCTTGATTTTTAAAATCAAATTATAAGCCCAAGTCACAATTTTGTACGTTAAATGACCACTGGATGGTGATTGCAATTTAATTTTCTAGGCGTCAGTATTAGACAAAGGCTAGGTCAAAATTGGCTGAGTGTGCTCGGCATTTTTTATACTGAAGATGACAGCTTGAATGTCCCATTAAGTGGTGAATACCTAACGATATAAATCGGGATCAGGCACTTGAATTCACAGCTCCCTCTGTCCACTACCTTTTAAACATTACATTATATGGTGGTAAATACATCTTTTTGAGTATAAGAAGTCAGATTATATGGTGGGAGTTCCGGAGTTACATTAATGGCCAAAATAACACGCACCTACCGCAAATAGTAGATTGGTCTAACACTATATTAGACTTTTCTGCGGATTCTTGTCACTAGGAGAGTTCAGTTTTCTCTCTGATTTCATTTATAAAAGCACAGACTGAATATGAGGCGTGTTCTTAGCATTATCCAGCTTGGCTACTAGGCATGGACGACTATAGTGTTAGCTATCAAGGCGACAGTAATGCTATCTAAAACAAAAATTGTGCTGCATTACAATATTAGGCTATCCCACAGAAATACACATGCTGAATATTTTGAATTATTTCAGCAGAATCAATAAATTTTACATAAAGTGATTGGAATTTTAGGACCATCATAGGATATTCAAATAGTTCTCCAAAAAATTCTTCAATTATTTTACAAATATATGACATCTAATAGATGCATGTTGCTTTGTAGAAATAAAACAAAGTTTACTAGCATTATAATAGCAATTGGATAATAAAAACTGACTACTGTTTTAATTTAACATAAAATTGATAAGAGGCATTTGTACGCAAACCCTAAGAAAATTTGTTTAACCCATCCTGGTCCTTGAAATTTATCAAATACCCGCCTTTCTCGGAAGTATTTTCGTGTGCACTTGTTGCTGGGGTCGAAGATATAGTTTTTTTACATCTGGGTCAGTAAATATATGTTTGGAAAAGTTATAGAACGCGTTCTTTTTGGGGCAGTCATTGCGTACATTGCTTTTAATATTTGGACATTTTATGAAGTCTTTTCGCCGGCTGAATGCAGTGATACCAAATCATGTGTTTTTCCGGGATGGTCGACCAGTGACAAAATTACGGTATGTTCCTTACCTTTGGCATTATATTATTAAGGCCCGAGTTTCTTTTTCTGAAGCCGGGGGCCCCGTCTTCCGTTCATTTGAAGTACCCGAATTCGACCTTCAGACTGGAATCAAGTGGTAACATCCGTTAATCAAATACATGGTTCAGGGTCACAAATGTCAAGGTGTCAAAAAAGAATTTTAAAGACACCGATGTCATCTGTAACATTAAGGTCTTAATGCCTTCGAAAGTCGTGATCTTAAATAAGGATGTCCATGTGCTCACCCAGCGTCAACGAAATTCACAAGCCTACAATTTGCTGTCATCGCAGGTAATTATTTGTGTGATTATTCATTATAAATTATCCTAATGTTTTTTATGTTTATTAATTTTATGTACTGCTTTCGTCCTTCGTTTGCTGGTGATCCATTTTTGATTTAAGTTGCAAAGCTTGTCTTTCGTTATAATAGTAACTTCCTTTTTCTAGAAAAATGACGCTCACCAAAATCTACATGAGTCAGCAATTCATTGGTTATCAGAGTTGCAAGTTTTTTTGCTGAAGAGTCCTGTTTCATTCCCATTAAATGGCATTCCACGGGAGATTTTACCCCATTTTCGAGTGACGTATGACCGATCAAGCTTTGTCTACCCTCCCCTCATTCACGTAAACCCACAACTGCAGCCAGCATCTGATTGGGTTGAGTTGCCAGACATTCCACCCGGAGAGCTCAATTTTACTGTTCAATTTATGCCTCTCTCCATTGGCAAGTTCCGACTGAGATGTATGCTTGAACAGACTGCAGAGTACCTTAAAAATATGGGTACGCGTTCGCTTTGAATATCGCTATTGTTTATCATGAATGTGATCGTAGATATATGGCTTGTAGGTATCAAGGACAAAGACGTTGAGGATATACGGGGAATTTTTACCGATACTAACCTTTATTTGCTGTTGGCAACAGTTGTGGTATCAATCTTACATGTGAGTGAATATAATTCAAGTTTTGAACTTTGGTTTCGCCTAAAATCTAATTCTCAGTACAAATTGCAGCTGTTTTTCGACTTTCTTGCCTTCAAAAATGACATTCAATTTTGGAAAAACACAAAGAATACTGCCGGGATTTCCATACGTACAAGTGCGTTCTTTTCTCAAGTGTTATTGCTGGCCATATTATTGTTATACAATCCTGTGTCTTGGTAATAATTGCGGCCCCTTTTCAAGCGCTAATTAATGGCTTTCTGTCTATGTGCTACTAATAATGTGTGCTTGTTTCAACCGACTCATTAGCGTTAGGTTTTTGCAACCGTATCGACATGCTTTGAATTATATTCAGAGCGGTGATCGTTTGTGTATCTAAGAATATGTTTTTGAATCAAAAAATGCTATAGTTATGTGCACCATTACTTTGTGAGGTAAAGTTTATTGATTCCTGGCTCAATTGACACAAATTTCAATCAGGTTTTATTGATTGTCATAATTTTAGCCTGACTCCTGCATATGCGTTATTTTGTCTGAGGGAAAATTTAAAGTGGATTCTGCTTAATGAACCTAACTATAGTCAACTGAGTAACGTCAAATTGGCTTCGCTTTTGAATACTTAACTTGGTAATGTCGAGTGCATCATAAAAAATACAGGAAAAGCCCTATTTTTTTCTAGTAATCTGGCGATGTCTTAGTACAACCATAATCTTCCTTTATCTCTACGACGAAAAGAGCAGTTTGCTGATAGTTGTGCCTGCTGGCATATCAATGGTAATTGAGTTTTGGAAGCTCTGTCGCATGGCCAAGATCTCTTTCAGTTTACGCGGCGGCGTCTCCGTGGGTAATCGCAGTGAAAAGGAACTGGAAACTGACAAACTAGATGCTCGGTTCATGCGACGTCTCATGTATCTCATTGTACCGTTGTGCTTCACCGGAGCCATTTATTCTCTGATATATATGCCGCATCGTAGGTATGTGTTCTTGACGCCAAATAATAATAATAATTCAACACAGTATTATACTTTAAATATAAGCATGTAGCTGTATACTCTTCAGTTTCTGTAAATTTGTGTTAGCTTGTGGTCAGGATTGCATGTAGGCAGTATTTTTAAACTTCGATGTGACTGTGAAACCCAACCTGCTTTCCCCAATCAAATTCACATTGCAAATTGTCGTCGTACCCGTATTGGCGTATTTTTTCCTAGTACGGTAGGATTTCGACCTCATTATGCAACTTCCGAATGGGTGGATAGTTGTTTTCAAACATCTTTAGTCACCCTAATTCATTCTATCCCCCAGCAGCTGGTAACCCTGTAATTGGTTGAATTAGGTGCGCCTACTGGTGTTAAACCATGGTACCAAGTTTTCACCATGAGGGCTCGTTACCATACCGCAAAATCGATCACAACTGCCCTAAACTGGCAATAGCGTTCTTAATTTACCTTGTTAATATTCGACAATGTGAGTAAGTATGGCAAATCATTTGTCTTTTAGTATTTTGTTATCAAATTTTGTTGAAATGCGAGTAATAGATGTTTTTTTTAGCTGGCGCTCTTGGGTTCTTCAAACAGCTGTTAATGGTACGTCACTTTACTATGCTACTGATCGTTATAAGTAGAATGCGCTTTTCGGATTGTAACTCTTGTAATTTAGGAGTTTATGCTTTCGGCTTCCTCCTCATGACTCCTCAGTTATTCATCAATTACCAACTCAAATCTGTGGCCAACTTACCATGGCGTGCACTCACATATAAGGTATTCTTTCAACTCGTATTTTTCATTTATTTAACGCCCAAGTTATCAGTCATCTTAAATGCAATTTCAAGCTTTCACTACGTTTGTTTGTGGTTGAACTAGTTTTTTGTTTGTAAATGGAATCACCTGTTGGTGTATCAATTTAAAGTTAAGGCCCAAAATGAGTAAGGTTTGGATGTAATTGTGAGACCTCCCTAACAAAGGCAGTCTGGTGTGAAATTTGGTCTTCATCGGGTCCTGTTTGTTACTAAAACCCCGTTATATATTATGTTACTAATTTCCTCCAATAATGTACCCTTAATGTGCTTTTTATACGCTCCGATGATACTAAGTGGAAGTTCCATGTGTAACTTCATCGTTCGTCCCTAAAAACTTCGGAATTCCACAGAAGCGGTCTAATTGTTGCAACCAACAACGTTCTATCACCATAAGTGCCCTTGAATTTCATAGAGGTTCTGCCTTTTTTAAACTAATATTATGTCGCCGAAGTCTGAAGGACGCTTGAAGCCAAGGCGATGTTATACGTACTTTAAATTTCCATCGAAATTCCTTTTCAAGTAATATATAGCTTGCCTACTGCAATTTGGAAAATGCGCATTGAAAATCATTTCGCAGATTCTTCGAATCAGGTAGTTTGGATGCCATCGCAATTTCCTTAATAATGGACATTCGAATACGGAGTCTTCCGAGTACCTTCCATTATCGATTACTTATGCTGGCGAGATGGAGTGCTTGGTATAATAAACATGCTTTAATGCTCATCAGAAGTGCCTACCTCTTTTATAGCTTTGATTTTCCCTAGGCTGTTTTAATAATGTCATTCGTTTAATTTTAAACATAAATTCCAGCAATAAAAGTAAGTTATTAATCGATCACGAATCTTTAATTTTTGTGTTGGATTGTATTGGATGTCTGCGTATGTCGTTTGTGATAATTCTAAGAATGTGTATGCGATTATGGGCGAAAATTCTTTAATGTAGGTTCTCACAATTTCTAAATTATCGTAAATCACTTTTGGTCTTTCTGTTGTTGTTGATTAGAAGGCATAAAATTCCAGACTAATATTTTTTTCAAAAAGATAGATGGTAGTTTTGGAGATCTGAATATTCTCCTGAAATTAAATTCATATATTTACAAAGCAATTAAACATCGAGCACTGTTTCGTGGTCATTGTGGAGGTCAATTGTAGAAGGTATTCAAATTTTTTTGCTAAGATCGGTGTTTTTACGGGAAAGGGCACAGTACCCAAGGTAAAATAAGAAGACCAGATGCAATGGAGACTCGACCGGTTATCGATCCTGTTAGCTTTAAGTTGTGAATTGATAACTGCGGTATTTAGGTGTACAAAAGTGTGAAATTTAGCGGGGCGGGTTCACAAAGGTGTTGATACTAGTCGGTGTGTCTGTAAATGCATGGTTGTTTGATTATAGCGCAGTAATAACTATTGCGTCTCTTTAGGCCACGCGTAGTTTTCCCAATTGTTACGGGCAAGAAATGGTTTACTGTATTTCAATGTCCTTGCTCTTATTTTTTGCTTGAAATTTTTAAAGCAAAGATATATCTTGACACTTCCTGGGCATTGGCAGCCTCCTGATGCCTACTATCCTTTCCTCAGAACACTATTCCATTTTTTACTCTAACGAATCCTAATACACACCCATAGTTTGGAATTCTGCATGGCTTATCATGCTCTGTAGTGATTTTTCTAGTTAGCGCCATCAATCTTCTAAATTGACTCCACGAGATTCACCCTACCGTCTTTCAATTACTGGTTTGTTTGGGTTTAAGGAAGTTGTGGAATTAGTTTAGTTTAGTTTCTTTTCGCTTAGTAACTAGTGTGGTCCAGGTAGCTACTTTGACGGTCACTTTTCAATCCTATGATGACTCAGTTGTCACTTTTGCATTCACACACCTCGGTTGATTACTTTGACATTCCTAGAAGCAAATAAGTTACCTTTAGTTTGTTTTTAGGAAAGAAAGGTTCTATTTATAGTGAATGTTGGACCAAAGCTACCGTCGATCTAGCGTAAGGTTGCTTATTTTGGCGTTTGGCGCGCGGAGATTTGGTGCTTTAACCTTGTGAAGAATTTGCCGATACTGAACAAATGTGCTCACAAATTTCATTCCTGACCCACTTAAATCACGTATCACTCACTCTAAATGTGAGGTTGCAATTGTCGTCATCTTACGATTGTTTGGTTCGATTACAGTTGTTTTATGCTGTCACGAAGTTAAGAAGCCATTAAAATCATGAGCCACAAGCGTCAAGTCTGACTCAAACAGACAAAATCTGTTTAGTTAGCATTTGGTAGGATTGTGTTTCAAGGTTAATTTGGGTTGGCATCGTAAGCAGTCATCCTTTTTGAAGACGCACTAGTCTAGAGTTAACCGCTTCTTAAGGGAACCTGATCGTGAATTCATTTCGAACAGCTTGGGTTTTACGTGTGGTTCTCTTAGTATTTTGAGTATGGCCTTACGGGACCTGTGCAACGCGATCTTGAGATTTACTATAGAAGGCGTTCATAATTTACATGCAGTTCTGTCATTTGTTAATGTTCACATTAATAATATAACAATAGTGACAATTTGCAAAGTTGGCTTTTGAACATGATAATGAGAAATCGGTAACATTATTTTCTTATTTTTCAGGCTTTTAATACCTTCATCGATGACTTCTTTGCTTTCATCATTAAAATGCCAACTGCACACAGGGTGGCTTGCTTTCGTGATGATATTATATTCGTCATATACATGTATCAAAGGTGGTGAGTTATCAATTATCTGTTGTGCATCAAAGCCAATGCCTAGTATTGACGCTAAAGTTTACCACAATCGAATCATTTTAACCACAATTTTGGATGAACCTGAGAAATGATTACTAAAGTGAATATCTAATTCCTCTAGGTATTTTTTAAAATTTTGTGGCTAAATGAAAATATTAGTGCCGAATTAAGGTTTACAGTCTACTTTGTTGGGGTCTACTTTGTACAACTTGCGTAACCCGTTCTACATTGCATTGACCAGTTTGGATGGACTCAACTTCATTTCAAAAGTGTTCTGCTAGTGCCATTTAATTTGACAGCCTCAAAGAGGTCCTTTCGCTACGCTTTCAAGCGTTTTTGTCTCCTTGATTTATTCCGCTCACTCATCTTTTTTAATCGGGAAAAAATCTTGGCAGTGATTGCGTGTACCTGTCTAAATTATACAGCTCGATTTTATTTTATACAAACATCACTCGTAGGGGTTACTTTGGTTTTGAACTCTAGTCGTCCCTTCAGTTTTTGTAATCTCTGTATGTCTGATGCCGTCCGATTAGCACTACAGCGGGAAATGCATTGTGTCTAAAACAAGGAAGAAGACTTTTCAATAAATATTTCCACATATTAGAAACCTATGAGTTAAAAGGCTGTAACGTAAATCGAAGTAAACCAGTTTCTATTGTTGCACTTATTCATTGAAAACCTAGAAGCGTTTTCTCACCCTTCGTATTGCCAGTCAGCAAAAGCACTATAAATTTAATTCTAAGCTACCTCCATGCTCTCCTCAAGTCGGTATATGGTTTTATTTGTTAAATAACTTGGGCGCGTGCCTGTTTTATGTTTTGCAATTAGTCGTTTATGTGGGCTTTGGGTGTTTTCGCTTTGTGTTACGCTTGTCCTGAGTGCTTGGTTCACCATAAAACCCGTGTCTGCACGACTATTACAGGATTAGGACTTGAGAATTCTGGCCTTGATCAACGGTTTAAGACGTTCTAATCCCACTTTAAATTAAACATAATTCCATAAAATATGCCTTTTAAAGCTTTCTGACATGAAACCCTAATCGTTAAAGGTGTGGTACACCAAAATACATAATTATCGTGTTTTGCTTCCATTTGACTGAGACTGTAATTACCTTCTTGCGAATTCTAAAACGGGTGAAAAAAAGTAGACTTGCTTTTTGCAGTATTTCTATTTAGGCCAGGTTTCAAGTTGGGTAACATTGTTGATTAAACAACTTAGCCTCAGTAAAGTGGAACCATATTATGATTGCCATTTCATGACTTTCTCTACGCACTTGATGTGCCTATGTGTAAAACATCAGTTTTTGTTAGCATTAATTTCGTCTGAGATGAGCCCAATTCTGAATTATGAGGGGCTGGCTATGTGTCATTTGTCTGAATAGAACAATGGATTGTATACTACAAACGTATTTTGAATTATAAATAAGGGCATTTAGAGCCTCAATGCACACCGGCGACAAGGTAAATCACTCCCTGATTGGTAGAAAGACTTTACAAAGTCTATTCATCCGGTACTGTTGAGGCAACCATTACGCAACTTAGAACTAGTAGCTCATTGCACATAACGATCATCCAATCAACTCTTGCGGGCCTTAACCGTGCCTACCTACTTTGTTGCAGTCTGGATAATTTCGTCAGAAGTTGTGTAGGCATTAACTTAAATGTGTTACAGACTTGCTTTGTTTTTTTTGCTGACTTTTTAAGGCAGCATTTCACAAAGTGGATAAAATGAGTTTATGGTCACACTATTTGTCCTGGACCACCGGGCCTCGGGGTCGCTCTCTGTTCAATATGCAATGCATTGGAAGGAGTGACAGTGCTTAAGCATGAAGCTTTGATTCGTTATTAATGTCATGTGTTATTACGTTCGTATTATCTGGTCGTCACTGTTCCTCTGCAATTGAAAACGATTGTTAAACGACACAGTTTCCGTACGTCAGTTTCAATTTGAGCTTCGTTTCTTATTCACTCTAAAACTCAGAGCAACATTCGATCAACAAATCTTTCTTAATATGTGATTATTTTTTGTGACACATCAAAGCAAATCGGTACAATTCAAATAAAAAATTTCCATTGGACGATCTTGCTTATTACTACCACTATTTTTCCCGATCCCAATGTTCGCTAAATAGCCATAAAAGGTCTAACGTTTTATTTATAGGCTATATCCGGTCGATCACACACGAGTGAATGAGTTCGGACAGCAGGAAAGCAAGGAGGAACCCAGAGAAGGCCCTAGTCTGAACACTCCTAAGTTAAAAACATCGTAAAATCGTTTTATTTTAATTCATGCAGAAAGCCTTGTTGATATAATGTCTTTATTTAAAGTATAGTTCTGGTTCTGTGGTAATATTTCTTGTTCTCGTGCAGCTGCTAAGGTAAAAAAATGGTATCTTCGTATGTTTCTGCAATTCAGGCCATCTTCAATTTCCTTTTACATACTTTTGGTGGCACTTTGACCAACACAAATGTAAATTGAGCAGTAGGATTTAGAAGTACAGCATCTGGTGTACGGTTTCTGCTTGTTTATATTCTTAAGGTCAAAAATTGCTTGAAGTCACATTCCCTAATTAGACCGTTGAAAGGTAGTCGGTAGAACTTTGACAGGGCGAACAGTTGGTGTTTCTGTTTGCGAACTGTCCTCATTGTCTTTTGGATCCTCAGAGCGCGATGTGTGGCTAATTGCTTGAAGCGTTATTCGTCTCTCGTGTAACGAGGAGGGTTGTTATTCATCTGAGCACTTATTGCCAAGTTTTTTTGAATGAAAAACGTGTAACTCGCGAACTTTACCCATGTGTATATCATTTGCGGATTTAATAGCACTTTACCATGCACACACGAGAGCGCTATGTCATCCTATCTGGAAATCGGTTGGGTAAGAAAACAAAGTTTTTCAGGTAGGACTATTGGTGAGTTCAACTTTTGGGAAAGTTCTCTCGTGTGCCGATTAACAGCGTTGTCTGAGTTCTTGTGCGGTTGTCGAATTTCTCTAATCGAAATTTGAGTCTGCTAACCTTCAAAGGATTGCTTATCAAAATCCATCAGCTTGGTTAGCACACTACATGGTACCCCGGATCGTTTGAAGGGTAGCGCTGCTATCACTTTTGACAATAGCAGAGCAAATTGTTAAAACACGCATGTTTAGTTAACTATGGGAATCACTACTGTTCGCGCCGGGATTCAGTGCGATTGTTCATATTTTAAGTGATTATTAGCTTATAAGTACCTTATGGGAGTGCTTGATTAATAAATGACAAGCCAAAATTCGCATCCCGTGGTTTTACTTAATTACACTTAGAAGAATGGTCCAAATTGGATAATTTAAACAGTTCAACTGAAGATCAGATCAAATCTCGTGAACGGAAAATAATAGCGACAACCAGGACTAACACATGGACTAATAATCTGGTAGAATTAGAAGTTCAGAATTGAAGAACCCCCGAAACCATAACTGTGTTGGAGTCCGTGGTATCCGAATGCTAATGGTCAGATGGTGGGCTTTGTCAGTATGAACTTGTGACAGTAAGTTATCGCAGTAAAATCCAAAACCAACGTTACGTTTAGTACACCCTCAGGAGATTTGAAATTCAGCATGTTTTGACTTGCCGAAATTTATGTGACGTCACGCAACGAAGGCTAACGGTCTACACATTGTTTAAACGCTATCTCTTGTCGTTTGTGAAAGTCTGATTTAATGACGATGGCCATAGTACTTTTCGGCCAGACTATGAAGTTCGAGGGATAGTTTGCTAGTTATCTTTCACTTACCTTTCAATACTGCCGTAGAGCTTGAATTAGTGTCGACTATTGTCTCTCAAGGATAACTGACATTTGAGTTAGAATGAGCCTTCTTGGAATTAGGTTAAGTCTTACGTTAGCCTCTAGATGATGATCCAATTTAAACTGCTCTTGTAGATTTTAATGAGGTGTCTTGTAAGAACTAGAGTGTTTTCATTTTATGATTATTAACGAGGACTAATTCGAAACCAAGGTGGTTTCAAGATTTAGTACGTGTTCTCTCTGCGCAACTTTCGGCCCGTGATGTTTTGGTCCGTGAACCGAAATTCGTAAACAGCCGATGCAAGGGCGTTGATGAAATTGGCTACAATTTATAATGTATTTACTCCAAATGATTGCTATCCACGTTGAAAAAGTAGCATGAATTGTGCATTTTACAAGAGCTTGCCATTTGCGTTCAAACAAGGGCGTTTTAAACTCACGGTTTTAGCCTTACACGAAACTGATGTTTATTCTTAAAAGCGTCCTGCAAAAAACTAACTTCACATGTGATTTCTCACTACGTCAAAAAGCCTAGTAAAATGAACTATAAACACATACAGTAAACTAAGAGTATGGAATCACATGATCTTATCATGTTTTTATTTATCATCGCAAAAACAGGAGACCTCATTAGAACGAAAATAGCTAATGATACTTTCTACAAGTACAATGCATCTGCGCAGCAATATTCCGACTATGTTTGCCTCTTTTTTGGGGGAAAAATATTTGTGTTCAGCCCAGACTGCCTGCTTTGTGGCAAAAGCTATTGCATTTACTGTGGTTGCGGTTTACACCACTGGAAATTTTGTTGTAAAAGGGTTTTTAACGGGCCTGTGTATACGGAGTCGTTGGTGTCCACCTATGGGAAGGTATTATCCAGTTTAGAATTGATCGGACAGATGATGAAAGCGCTACACTTATGAGCACTTGTACAAGATTATGGCGTATCCGTAGACCACATGAATCCGATGAATGCTGCGAACTTGCAAAATTTATTTAAACGAAGCTTCACGGTCAGTTTCCACTAGCATGGTTGTTCATTAAATTATGGGTTAACGAATTATTTAATCTGCACTTTTGAGGTAGATAGGCTAAAAGCAGTGTCATTTTCCACCTGAAGCTTGTTAACCAGCTAAGTGTAATTCTAAGTTTTTTTTAAGATACAAAGCAATTAATTTTTCAGTTAACTACGAATTGACACAAGCCAGGGTGTTTAACTCAGCGTGTTCTGATGGTCAAGTCTTCGAAATAGCGTCATTCAAATGGTGCCATAAATTTCACCTTTTCCCACTAAATGAACTTTTCACTTTCATTTAACTTAGTCCAGATCTTCAAATTTGTCATGCTCTCTAATCTAAATCATTTAGGTTCAATTGTTGCAAAGACAATATTAATATTGACGCTCTTCTTCGGTAATGACTGCGATTTCAGTGAAGCTAATGTTGTCTAAAGAGTAGACAAAATTTGGTATTCTTTCATTTCGTAGTTTATTTGCGAACAGGGAATGCATATAAGTGAAACCATCTCGATTTTGCCATGGTTCATCAATCGCACTTAATATAGCATGATTCACAGGATCCTAACTTGGGATTTCGGAGTGGCAACGAGTAAGTTTTAGTTAGGGAACATCCGCAATGAGCACATGTTTCCGCTGTACACCCGACCGAGGAAACCGAGGACAGAGCTTGGCATGAAGAACCAAAGGAACAGTCAGTAGTTGTGAAGGACGTATGAAGGTCATTTTCCGAGAAGAATTTTTGCTCATTTCTGCTGCAGCGTTTTGGAAATATTGGCAATGACTTCTTCTTCATGGAAGCAGCGTGTCTGATGTTTCCTGTTTGATGCTGCTCATCCCAGGCTGCATCACTACGGTACAGCGGCTCGGTAACGCTCTCCGCTTGATTCGCGCCCCTCGTTTGGGTGGTTCCTTTTCTTTTGTCATCCTGTTTCAGTTCAAATGTTATCGAATCTCTTAGTTGCGGGAACTGCAGCTCCGACAGCTTGTGCACTTCCTCTTCCTTAGATTGGCATGTCGTTCTGTGTTTGTGTTTGATTTCCTTCAACAACATTTTGACGTGCTTCTTATCCCTTTGATTGGCGTGTTGAATAGCATGATGCTTAACGAGTGAACGAGTTTGAGAATATTGAAGATTGCCGTTGTTTTGAGATGCTTCAAGAGAGTAAGATTTGCTTAGGCGGCAGCGACCAGATCCTTCGTTGGCTGAAAAAGAACACAGCATCCGCCGCAGGGCAAGAGCAAAGCGCTGATTTAACCAGCAGTGGAACACGAAGGTGCAGTCACTTTTGAGTGCTAGAGCTAGGGTGATGGCAGCGCGCAAAAGGCTGTGGCCGTGACTTGGTTTTGAGAGAATTCCAACTTTATGACAAGCGGAGTAGGCAACAAAAGGACTCTGGCAAATGAAAAAGGCACCAATCAAGCAGAGAATAAGAATTGTCATGCGAGCCTCTTCTCTCAGGGTGTTCCGAAATTCCACGCCGCCTCGAATACAATGCTGTCTGACAAATCGACCGGACATTCTGACAGCTGAGAGGAGGCAAAAACTTGCCAAGCACAAAAACACAAAAGGCAAAACAAAAAAGATGAAGAAATGCACCAACCAGGCCTGCGCTGCTTGATATTGCTTCAGTGGTTCTGGCCAACTGTCCTCGACATAGGTCGTCAGCTGGTGACCTGTGTGAGAGAATGTTTCGGGTTTTGAATGTTTACCTTGTTGTATCAACTTAAGGTAGAGCATTGATGTTGTTTCATTTAGGGCGTTGGTCTAAAAAAAATAAATCAGATCTTTATAGATGAAAATAAGCGAGGATCAAAACAGTTCTTAAAGTTCCTCTACGACGACACCCTAAAAAAGGTAAACAATTATATGGCTGAATTGAACATGACAGGATCTCTCAAAAACTGCCATCTTTTCCAAAAGTAATTGACTGAATATTGAAATATTGGTTGAATCTATCCACCTATTTCACTAATAAAACATGTGAATGTCTTTATCACTTAGAAAGCGACTCCTAGTGATCCACTCCTGTGATAACAATTTTCAGGGATTAATTGGCTTGAATTTATAAGGAGCCGTGTTAATCAAGCGAGGTTTGCTAGACATTCATCACTCCTATCTTGTTATGCTGGAGACACTGTGTGGTGGATTTTCAGTGCTCGTGAACAGAAAGTGCGCAAATTTAGATTCGTTCCAGACTATGCATAATTTACCTGACAAGAAACTCAAGTTATTTATGCGTTTATGAGTATAAAAACTAATCGAAGTTGCTAAAATAAATTATACTTGAACATATTTTTGATTCGAGTTACAAAGTAATTGTGCAGCTAGTGTGTTTGTGCCATGTTGCTGGTAGGATCAACTTTGAGAAACAGAATAAATTTAGCCATGTCAGATAAACTGCCCCTGGAAGGAATGTATCACAAATTCTCTGGATTTTAGCGAGGACGTAACTTACTTGATTCTGACAATTTAGAGCATTCTAAGTAAACATATTTAACGCTGCCGATATAGGGAAAACACGAGTCTTTTTCGGCTTTTCGCTTCTCACTTTTTATGAATCGGATACTCATGTCCACAGGAATTATTTAAACTTAGTGATGTTTGTCCTCATGTATTTTGCCTCTACCTTAGCCACCTAAGATTTTGTTATTTTCTGCCCTTTTGCAGTTACCCACAAGATTATGAGTGAATTAAGAAAACGCGTATCTTTTGACAACAAAAAATGCATGGAAATGATTAAAACTGATGTAAAGTTGCATTAAATTAAAAAAATAATCCCTAGGTGAAGTACCACATTAGCAAACAATTACCTGCCATTCAGGAAGGCAAGGGTGTGGTTTAAGGCAATGTGCCTTAATTTAATACTTTTGTTCTTCAACAAACAAAAAAAATATTTTTAGTAGACAAATACGATGAAGGTAAGAGGAACATTACTCTTAAACAAAGAAGCTATTTTTCTTGATTGAGTGCCTCCGGAATAGGATTTTCATTGAGCCTCATTATATTCATTTCTGTGAGTCTAGCCAAATAAAAAAGTGCAAGCACAACTTTACATTGAAATGCGAGTTTACTTTAAGCACTTGCGTAAACAGTTTGACAGTTCGCACCTATGTCACCGTCTGCCATGTCCATCGCTACTCGAAGACCAAAATTACGAAACGGGAGTGGTTTCTAATAGGTCTCGTTTTAACCATGAATGTGAACGCTTGTCTTTACTTTATCATTTGACCGAAATTGCGCCGTGTCAAATAGCCCATGGGGAGGAGTCAAGTACAGTAGAGTGCGGCAGAATGGTGCACACTGCAATGAAAATCAATTGTGATTAGTTGTTACTTACTATCCCAGCATCGGTTTTCTGATAGTTCAAACGAAATTCATACGTGTTGGGGATTCAGCACCCCCAAAACTACAGGTGTCAAGATTTTTACAATTTTATATTTTTCACAATCAACTGCGCCTTATGCACACCACCTTTTGTATTCACATCTCCCTTTTTCTTCCTATTGGCTCATTCACCTTTGAGTGTACTAATTCTCCCTTATCCGCACTCGAGGTCGCTCGCGCCATAAATAAGTGGGGGCATGTGAACGTGCAATCGGCCTTTGGCAGGCGGCGAAAGTTCTTCGCGCGAGGTTTTGCCGTGCCTTGAGTTAGCGTGAGGAGGCACGGACTCACACGTGTCCAGTCGGGGTGCCAACCGGGAATCAAATAGTTGCACTTTAGGTTTTGCATCTGTGTAGCTAACCGCGACAACACTCGAACCAAAGCTTAGTTCAGAGCCCAGAGTTGAATTTTCAAATACGATTTAGGTTTTTATCTGTTGAAAACGCCTTCAGTAGTTGAAATCATTACATTTTTCTCGTTACTCGTATGTGGATTATGCCAAGCAAGCCTACGTTCGACGCTGCTTATTTTTTTTATTATCACGAAATATTCATCGACCAGAATTGACACAAAAAGCATAAAAACATGTACCTTTTATAAAATTTAAACCAAATGAAATACTTATGAAGATTACCTACACATCAAAGCTGTTTGTAGATATAACAAAAATAGCAGTCATCTTCATGACAGGTAATAAAGTTGATGAGTCCGCATGGTTGGCAGTTCCACTGTGCCGGTTATTCCACATAGCGTAAATTTGATTTGAAAGTTCTTCAAGATTGTACAAAACATCCAGCAAATAGGTTTACTGTATTGCCCAAACCTGTTCTGGACAATTTTTAGGTCATAATTAAGAATGAGTGATTGATTGAGTATACGTATAAAGTGTTCTGCGTTGCTTTTGTATAAACTGTAGCACACTACTCTTTTTAACGGAAATGCTAAAATTAGCAATCCTTATAACATTTCACTCGTCTTTTTAAGAATTCTTCGAGCATATGATTGCAGCCCTTCTCACTTGCCTGCTAATCTTATTTTTGGTTGTCCTGTTGCTAATAGATCTGCAGGATTTCTCAAAAGCTTACAACCAAAAGCCTCAAAAAGCTCTTAATTTGCAGGGCTTCCTTAACAGATCCAATTCTTTGCACGGAGCGACTTTTTAACCTCATTATGCCTAATATACCGGGAAATTTCGGTTTGGTCTGTTAGCAGCAGCTGCCTAAACGTAATTTTATTTTTTAACTTAATAATTTATCACGAACTAAGGTAAGCTAATGAGATACCATCAAATTTCAAAAAAAAAGAATTGTCTACTTTTAGCATTCATTTATGAAGCTAAAGTAGTCAATGCTTGAAATATGAAATCTTAATTAATATAAAGCAAACGTTGGCATTTAGATAAGAGATACAGAAAAGATTTAGAAGAATTACCCTCAGTAAAAGTCGATTAAAATGTACAAAAATGAACGTGGACACATTAAAATTAAAGGTTCATTCTAAGTTTTCATTGCAGATATGCGTCTTGTACTCTCGTTTCCAATGGGAGATACTTGGTTAATTAGTGTTCTGCTATATTAGTAATGCTATTCTTCCAAAACTATTAGTCAAAATTTCGACTTGGAGAGGATTTGTACAAATTTTATAAGATGGGGTTATTTATTTCTTTTCGACTTTCTTAACATTACGTCAGTGAGTTTTAAAAACACTTTAAATTACTTGCATACCATTTCTTGAGGATAAACAGAAATTATTTCTGGAATAAAACTTGTGAAGATTTGGGGTTGGGCCAAAGATCTGAGTCCCAAATATGGCCAATTAACTAGACCTAACAAAGTTCAAATTGTCGTGTAAAATTCCTTATTTTCAAATTTCAGATGCCATTTTATAAAAAAGTAACTTTCTAGTAAAGCTATATACTACTTGTTAATGTTAAGCCATGCACAGGTCTCAGCTCAAGTTTCTAAAATGATGGCAGCAGTGAGTCATCAGTGCATGAAATAAAAGGCCGCAGCACATATGGCACATATCTAATACTCTGTGCTTCAAGGAGGTAGCTCACTACCCTGCAAATAGAAATTTCAAGACGGACATGACATTTTCAACTTTATTATGCATAAAGCTTTCCAGTCCAAAAAACACTTGCCCTAAGCCGGGTGATAAAGGGTGAATCCCAAGGTAAGTTCGTCCAAAGTCTCAGGAATTAGGTTCAATACACAGGCGAAGCTTTGCATGATTCACCTTTTCTGTCTGATTTTTGAGGCGTTAAGAAATATGACATGCAAAATACTTAGTTCAGGGGTCTGTAGAATAGGTTTAATGGTCAAATAATGCCAACAGAGGTCGTTTACAGAAATTAACAATAAATAAGTCGAAAGTTAAAAAATACAAATTTAAATTCTTGCAACCACATTAGAGGGCCCTTTCGAAATACGCTGATTGTTGATTTTGGGAGCATTTTGGCCAAAAACTAGGTAAAAGTGAAGGAAGCATTCCGCTTAAAGTTCGCATGTTATTGGTGTGAAAGCTTCTGATCCAGCTTTGCATCCGTAAAATCAATTGGCAAAAAAGAATATTTGATTTCGCAACTGAAAGACGGCAAGTTACAAAAGCAATACTTTTTTCAGCACTCGAATGCAAATAATTCTAAACAAGCGCTAATTTTGCATAGAGCAGGCTTTTGTAGGGAATTTTAAAATTCAATTTTGGCAGTAAGATCAAAAGTGCTGCCATGGCCTGAGTGTTTTCAAAATGTTTCTGCGACTGGTTTTAGCAAAACAGTTTATACATGTTGAAATAGCCGAATGGAATAGTTTGTTTCATATTTAATTAAATTACTCTCCTGATTTGGCAAATAATAATAGTTAGCTTTACCATTTTTAACTAGCCATGTTGAATTAGCCACAGAGTATTCAAAAGGCTGGCAGATTTTTCATACGTGAAAGTTCGAAAGAAATAAGCAGAAAATGTTAGATCTATTTGTGTACTTAGCAATCAAGTACTTGAAATTGTTACCTTTAATAAAAACTGATCAGAATCTTCGAAAAAGTTAGCCCAAGATGCTGAAAAAAACGTGTTTGCAATACGTTCAGCAGATTAAATATACGAGCATTTGTTCCAGATGAACGTGCAAACCACAACTATGTAACCATGGTGACTTCGTGAGAGAAAATGAATGAAGACCAAAGTTAAGTTACTACCATCAGTATAATGGGAGGTTTAAATTATTGATTTTATTGGCAATTTGATACACAGGCACATGACGTCACAGATGCATAATAAAAATCGTGATCATCACCAAGTCTTAAAATGCACTTATCTGGTTTGTGTTGAACAACGGTTTTTTTCGGCCTTTCCAATTGTGTACAGAATATTTTAAATAAAGGCATACATTTTGTGTCACACTTAAAACTTTAACAAATGTAACTATGAATTTTCGATTAAGCCACTCAGATCAAGTTAAATATAGGAGTCAAAATCTTCGGAGCTTTCAAAGGTCTAGCATTATTTTCTATGTTGATGATTTGAGTGGCATGTAACTGTGACCATCAAAATCCATTTATATGTGTGTATCTTGTGAATACTATCGAACAACCCAGAGTTCGTGTGGCTTTTACTCATGCAAAGAGTAATAACCAGATATTTGTCTAGCAGAATCACGTTTGAGAACAGATAAAATAGGTTTACTTGACATTGTAGCGTTGTGTGCGGAAATGTGTGATTATAATACATTTACATTTTGTGGAAATGTTGGTTTCTTACCGTAGTTAAAAAGACCTACGTTTAAATATTCTTTGCCTTAATGATTTTGTATGTTGAATGCGACACGCATATACGCAGTTCCTTGTATTGACCACGCCACAATTGCTTATGGTTAGAGGTGTAGAATTTCATTGGCTTCGTAAAATGTACGTGCATGCAGATTTTTTATATGGCCTACTGTAAATATACTTAAGACATTTTGGAAGTTTAAATTTTGCCCGAGAAGTCTGTGGGCACCACAGTATGCTAGTATCTTTAAAAAGTTTAAGTTACGCACGTTCTGTGGACTATAAGTGAAAAGCCTCATGAAGTGTGTGGTAATTTCTGTTTGGATACTGCTTTCTATTTTCTTGTAATTTTAGTCACGAATTCCGGGTGCCCGATGTGATATATTCAACATAATAACTCTTTATTGTTTGACTAAAGGATATTGTATGGCAATACTTAAGCTCAGTGCTCTTAAAAATTTTCCTTTAAATGCAACATCGTTTAGAATTTAAGGTTTCTAATAACATTTGGAGGTTGTGCAAGTTAAGTACGGTTGAAAACAGTAGCATTGGCTTCTAGATGCTGATTGACAAAAATGATAGGCATTCACGTTTGTCAGGCTCTAGATTTAAATAACAAAAATCCAGGCAATAAAAAATCCACAATTCTGTTCAACACTATTGCAACGATGTCTCATCAACTAATCTTCGATAAGTTGTGCTTGTTCCAGAATGGGCCAGAGCCATTGCTCCCCCAAGTGGTAGGCAAATGCACGTTTGGCTGTCATGGTTTGGTGTTAGACTCTGAGGACCATTCCAAACAAAAAAACTGCGCATTAATTTTTCAATATTTTTAACCGATAGGTCTTTCAATTTAAACAAATTATGCAATATAATGAAGGGTTGTTTTAAGCTTGTTGAATTAACTAGAACTCTATCTCGATTTCTTAAATTATTTACGGCATTTTACCACAAATTTTAGACAATCTAGCCTGGGACTTAATTATCACTGGCAGAATCGAAACATTACGTTGACTGAGACTTGGCAAGTGCTGGAAAATTCGCAGTATTGTTTAGTTGTTTCGGCAGATCCACACACCCTCCGCGTGTTGGATTTCAAACTGCTATTTTTTCATATATCATCAAATTCCATCCGTAAGTCAACAATCTTACAATGCTTTCGGAAGTGGAATTTATTTGAACCAATATTCCAGTCCAGTGGAAAACTAGGTTATCATCGCAAGTATATTTAATTTGGAATTTGAAATACTTAAAACAAGATTTCATTGCGTCTACTGTTATTGAATACATGAACACAAATTCAAAGTAGTTGTGCTTAAATATTACATCCAATAAACATTTAATTTTTTAAATGGCTCAGAATTTGGAAACAAAACCACTAATGGTTATAACTGGCTGTCGTTTGTGGCAAATGATTTATGTTAAAACGAGTCGTGCTGTTTTTTTTTTCAAAAGGTAATTACGTTAAACAGTCCACAATGCTACGATTTTGTGTCTGACTAGTAAAGCATAACCTTAAATCATTCCAAACTCCTGCTACAATTAAAACTTTAGAAAATAAGGTTTACTTGCTAGATAATTGGTGGCGAACTTTGTAATCAAACTACAATTCATAGATTTGTACAAACATTAGTTGGTTTCATTTTCAGAGTTTTGGTCAAAATTTTTAATTGGCTGTTGGACATGCAAGGGTTCTATAACCGAGAAAATGGAGCTGCCTTTGTCAAAGCTGCATGCATAGCATCAGACAATATGAACCGTGCTGCTGACACGTAATTCCTGGAAACTTGCAAGAAAATTCTAAGATTACATGTCAGTAGTAAATAGAGTGCAAATAACGTCTGAAAGTACAAAACCCTAAACTTGGCAAAAAGGAGGAGTTTTGATGGACACAGAATAGAAGCCAGTTTTGGTCAGAGGCTGGAACATTTTTATGTTTCTCTTTTTAGCTGAAGACTCGCGGTCCATTAGATTCTGGAGGTATTGCTACCTTCCGGCCATTACGTGTTCATGAAATAAAATATACGCAGAACTTCAATTTTTTTCTTAGTTTTAACACTTCAATGATATTAGCTTACTGTTCATTAATCATCAAAAAGAAATAGACATAATTTTTAATGTTTAGAAAGTCTTACATCATGTAAAGAGCTATTTCTTACTAAAATAACAGAACTGAATGCATCAATAACCCGATCAAAATTCTGTCGAGTGCAGGATCTAAAAAAATGTTTAGTATTGTATGCCAAGTTTAAGTGTTCTTTTATTAGCAGCCCAAATAATCCTTCGACCCTTTGATAAAAAATACTGCCTCTCAATTTCATACCATGTGTTCATGGTTGTAGGCCATCTGGAATCGTTCTGCCACCTGATCTATATCAATACAGGGCTTGTCGCTGTGCGGGGTACCCCAGCATTGTCGATATCTGGTTAGTTCCATAATGTCCAAAACCAAGGTGGGGATTGTCAGCAGCAAAGCTAATACACAAATAGCTGATACCGCTATCCTCCTGTGTTTTTCTCGGATCTGCTTAGCCTTGAAAGGACGACTTATAGCAATTGTGCGCTCAATAGCCTGTGCTGTCATTAGCCAGTTGGATGTCAGGAGCAGCCCCAAAAGGCACCCATAGAGGCAGCGGGCAAAAGCAGAGGTGTAGTAGACGTGTACTTGTCTGGAGGACATGAAGTAGTCCAATGAAGAGACAAATAAAACGATTAGGCTCAACAAATCAATGAATCCCATGAACTTGAGATAAATCAAAGCGGTTACACGGACTAACTTTCGACGGTGGAGAAAAAAAAGTGTAAATATAAGTGCTCCTATGCTAAGAAGACAAATGGCTGGTGTGATAAAATGGCGAATCACGTGGTAGCTGGTAACCAGTGCCTCATCACTCCCAGAAAGGAGACTTTCTATCGCTTCAGAACTCAGAAAACGATCATAGGCTGTTGCAGATAAACTAAATCCAGGTGTTAGAGCAGATGAATTCATCCTCTTTCTGTTTAAAGGATGAAAATGGAGAAAGGTCCTGGTATTACAGGGAAGGCTTTGATTGGATAAATTGTTAGCTTTCGTAGTAACCTATGAGGGAATGACTGCATAAGCCAATCAAAAATCGAAAATTACAAGGAGAGATCTTAACGACAAGTTTTAATTGCCGTTTGTTTGCATCATTAAGACTGGAGTGAATTTAACTCCACTTAAATGATATTTTGCGAATAAACACAACAATTCAAGGAATTTTAATTGGCCAAACATAACACCGACTTTAGCATTATCTAGTTCCGTTGAAGTAGTTATCGGCTTTATGTGCAAACACATTACACAAATTGCCTCTCTCTGACTTTTCCTACTAAATACAATTAAAAAATCTTTTCTGTAAATATGAGTTATCGGCTTAATAAAGCATTGCTTAGTGGCCATTTTATAGAGTCACGTAGTTTATGTGAGAAGCGTTTTTTATCCTTCAGCCTACTGCTGGCACCCTTTTAAATCGAACTTTGGCACAAGTGTTTAGACCAAAGTGGAATGAATTTGTGCGTCTACAAACTCACGAATTGACGTGGATAGATGAGACGAACCGCATCATACGTGGAGCAAGGCAGAAAGCGAATAAAGTCGAATTGGCGAAATAAGCTAGTGCCTTTATTTCCTTATTCATGGTATGAATACACAGAAGTAGTCTTAATTAACTGGCATGGGCTAGTTTTCCTTTGGGAAGAGGCTGTAAACGCGATGCATCAGTTACATCATGTCCACCTAAATGTGTCTAATTATTCAGCTAGTAATAATAAATGTAAGTATGCCAGTATTTGCTAGGTACCATGACAGCACTTACCTACTGAAATACTGTTTCTTTCATGTTAGATCATCGAGTAAAATAAGGGCTTTCACTGGTTAAGTTAAAGTAAAATTTTATTAAGGTTCATGTTCTGTGTGCATCATATTAAATTTAAAATAAACTTTACAATTCAACACACGTTTGCCTATTTTAAATGAATTTTTATGTTAAGTGAGTTGCAAATATCACGAGAATTATCTATGAACTTAATGGCAGCTCTCAGTGTTAAATCTCGGTTATTACCTATCGGAGCCATATTGGAAGTGCGTTTGTATTTTAAAATTAATTAGTCTTTTACAGGCAAGCATAAGAGCTAAACAGCTCAAGTCAGTCATTAATTATCTATAGTTATTTCACTAGTGATATTGCATTCGCTCATTCAAGTTTCAGATTTTATGCAACCTGTTAATTGATTTAACCATCAGTAGAACAGCAGACTCACAAATTTGATTTGAAAATCTTACATTGCTACCATATGATAATTATATTAAATCTTTTAAATACTTTAAATTGGAGAAACTTATTTCAGTTTTTTTTAATGGTGCTTTGAAATTAAAGATAATTGAAAATATGATTCTGTGTTCCTATTAATTCTAAATTCTGTTCAATAAATTTGATGGAATTTACCGCGGTTGTGCCGTTAAAGATCTGGTTGTATATGAGTATACCCTAAGTAGGAAGGTCACTTTTAAGAGATAAAATTATCATTGGCGTCACACTGGACCTATTGAATTACATCGCAGAACTTTGGGTGTTAAGTTTGAGGGGACACAGAAAGACTACGCCGAATGGAAACTTGTACAAATAAATGATTCCGCAGTAGGCGGGCTGACTTTTTTTACACGTTAAGTGGGAAGCACATTGTTTAATCAAACTGAAATAAAATTTGTAACGAAAACATTTGTTAGATTATTTTTTATATAAGTTACCTCTACTTAATGAAAGCATTTTCAAAATTTTGGACTTTTTCAAAAAAAATATTAGGAGCGAACTAATGTGAATTCATCTTGAATTTAGATTTGATGTTGGGAAAGTACGTTTATGACGAACATCATCATAAATGTCTTTTTTTAAGTTCTTAAATGTGAAATGAGATCAAAATAATAAATAGCAAAATATTATTGTTGAAATAAAGATGTCTGAACCCAATACGTTGCTCTAACAAGGTTGAGGAAATGATTGTTTGAGAGTTAAACTGTAAATCGTAATCAGGCAGAAGTTTCAATTATTAATGCATACATTTCCAGATCAACTTATTTTCTGTGTCAAAATTAACAGACGCATCAACGAATGACAATTTTTAGCTTAGAAAAAAAAGACGATATGAAGGTAGAATGTTATTAAATAATACATGGCTGTTACATTACCTATTTGTTTAATCTATTCTTGTGTTCTCCACTTCTCTTTATAAATCTAACACGAATTGAGCTTTTAATAGGATTAATTAACTGGATCTATACACGATTTTAAACTGTTTTCTTAATGTACTTAATCCTTGGTATCTTGAAAACTTAGAATACTTGGATACGTGTAAAGCATTCATAACGGAATTTCTATTTGTCGAGATGAAGAACCACCCAAATGTGCCACAAATATTCTCTAACGCACGAAGCAGCCAATGGGCATTTGTAGGCTGCACCTTAAGAAACGTTTCGCCTGGTCATATCAAAGAAGTGAATTGCGGAGGCCATTAACAAATTTTCCCCGTTATCGCTAGAAACCAATCGTAGCAGCCAGTAAATCTTGAATATCTCTTTCGTTATCCGTTTCAAAAGGATGAAATTATGGAGACATGGATATTTGGTTCAAAAAACGCGTAACCTGAGGCTCAATTAGAAACATTTACGACTCATCAATAGGATAAAATCATAATTTTTACCAGCCATATATTGATGAACAACTTTTCATACCACTTTTCATAACACAACCAATATGAAAAATAATATTCCTCTGACCCCAGTGTTTTCGTAAACACCATCCAGTAGTTGTTTGAGCCCAGCTCTCTTGATGATAGAAATATTCTCGTACACATTTTCACCGATTTTGCATAATTTCTTATATGTATAATTTACACTACAAAACATAGGTTCATTTAACCACCAAAATCTCATCAAGGGGGACAAAAGTCACCAAAACTGTTTTTGCCCCCAATAAATCACTTAGTCAAATGGTTTTCGTAAGACAGTAGTCTGACTACCTTGTTTTACTAGCCAACTTAGCCGTTCAAAAGAGTTTGTGGCTACATTTTTAAAAGCGTACGTGCTTTCAGTAATACTAAATTGAACGTCATTTTTAAAAAGTAATATAGGCTAAAATTTTGAATTTTGAACAAAATACTTCACTGGTGAAAGTTTCTTCGTTGGCGATCTTAAACTAAGAAAAACCAGTATTCAAAACACTTTTTCGCATAATTCCAGCGTGACTTTATTTTTCACCTATTTATTCCTCAGATTGACAGATAACTGGCAAGAATCCGAGTCCGGTTATGTTTTGATGTCTGTTGTACAAATATATGCCTGCTAAAGCAAGAAACTCTTTACGGAGTAAATAAAAACACATCGAAACAGGGTGAGTCAGAAGTAACCGGGACGTCTAAAACACCTTGGTCCAAATAATAAACTTTATCGACAATAGGGTCATGCGCTCTTAAATAATGTGCAATCAAAATATCGAGAGTAAAAATACAGTATGTGCTCAAAGTGACAATCGGTATTTCGATTCATTTGAACGTTATAAAGCTAATTGCTTTGCACCCACATCTACACAGAGCTTCAATGATTTTTGTACTAGACTTGACTAGCTTTGTAGAAAGTTGCTAACTAGTTCTAAACATTATAACGCACCCGAAAAAGTGATGGATAAAATCTGGCGAGCAAAGAGGATACTCTCTAGAACCACAGCGCTCAACCCAGTGTGTGAAGTAGGCTCGTGACTCCGGCCTCACGCAACTGTGGTGTGAGTGGAAGCTGTACTATCCCTCTGGAACCACATCTCTCGAACTTGCGACCAATCTGGCACCAACCATTTTTGTGCGTTATTTTCAGTAAAAATATTCGACTGGTTCGAAAAAAGAATTCTTTCAATTGATTTGGCTATCCGTCCTGCATATTATTTTATTTTGTTGTGGGCCCCAGGATGTAGTCCTGAACCACGCCGGGGCACCGGAATTAACTCTGGCCCGATTACGCTTGCCGGATACCCGCGATGAAGAAGACCGGAGAGGACGGGACACAACTGTTTACTTCAGAGCTCAATCTCGTTGGTGTCGTTGTGTCGTGTGTGGGGTTTGCGCGTGTGTATTTATACCTCGGATGTGTGAGTCATAAATGCGCTAACATGGAGACCTAGGCATGAGGATAATCCAACATGGCTATTCGTGTGAATGAGGGGGGAGTTGAGGATTCGCGCGGCTGGCGCCATGCTGCGAAGAGGGGGAACCCTGTGTCGGAGGCGGAGAGATCGGATTAAGGGATGTGAATAAACATGATTCACAACAATTTCTTCAACATATTTACTTTTGCGAAGATGAAGGGCTTATCAGAATATTGCTAAAAGATTTAGGGGTGTATTGGTAGCGACAAACACATCATCTTCGTTTGTGTTGATTGTTGTGACTGATTGCAGGCCATATTGCCATAATCGGACATTATGCCATAATTTTGAAATTTTTTATAGAAATATATAGATGCTGCAGTGCCTTTTTAAAAAGTTAAGTAGAAAGAGCAGAAGCAACTCAGGTAGAGTAAATATTTTCTAGGTTTGTCACTTCTTCGAAAAACTTTCACTGTCCTGTTTACTCGATGATGAGAATTAAATTATCCAGCCCCTTTTTTTGTGACCAAACCATTGGTGAAATCTGAGACATGTCTTCCTCCAATTATCTTCCTGGAAAAAAAAGGCCTGCAATTAATGTGCGTCCTTTAATTGTAAGTCAGTGACCATTCGTCTCTGCTATGTTTAAGGCACGATAAATCCAAAACAGAAACATATAAATGCGAATTTTTAGCATGAATATAAACACTGGTACTATACTTTCAATTTAACTATTTCAAATAACGACACTTGCCTTTCAAAAAATCTATCATTCGATCGTCTAAATTACTGTAAATAAACACAAGAACAAGGGTGCATTGACTGCTAGGTAACTTCT